TCCTTAGACCTGTTGGCTCCGTGGGTGTTCTCCAGTACTCTGACAACTGCTCTCGGCTCGATCTCCTCTAACTTAACGCTGTTATGTCCGCTTTTAGATAAATCTGCTTTCAGCTCCATTAAGTCTTCTACACAGGTTGAGTCTTGCGAGTTCCTTTCTATGATTCGTATCATCTGGGAAAACGCCACAGATTCGAATACATGGTGAGGATGAAAGCTATCCGTTCGCAAGTAATTCCTAGCATCTGTCTCCTTTCTGTAGAGTCTATATTGGATCTGGTTGTAAGTATCCAAGGTTAGAGTGATGTCAAGGAAATTAACAGTTTTACCGATTTGTTGGTCAGCAAATCTGATTCCAAATGGTTCTGCCAGTTTGTTCAGTTGCTCCACGAATAGATTGAACTGTCGGACTGTTCCTAACCACACCCCAAGTACATCATCAATAAATCTCCTCCAGAGGTCTACCAAACTCCAGTTTTTCATCTTTCCTTTGATCTGTTTAAACAATAGCCAATGCATCGTCACATCTGCCACTTGTCTTGAGATACAATTTCCCGTCGGGATACCCTCCTTGTTAATGTATCCCTCTCCCTGATAAGTGACAAAGGACTCCCGGAAAATCAGGTCAGTGAACTCATGCAAAGCCGCTTTTAGCTCTTGTGAGAAGTTGGTATCACTATTGAGGGCATCCTCAAGAGCAGTAAGCGCTAGTTCAGGCCTGATGCTAGGATATAATGCTGCCACGTCTAGAGTAAAGAGCTGCAAGTTTCTAGAAGCGCCCTTTAGCGTCTCCTTGTTGTAGCTGTTGATCTGAGAAATAATGTCTGGGGTATCCAAGATAAACTCCTCCTCACAGTATTTTCTGCTGATCTGAGTGACGTACGGGCTCACAAACTTCTCTAAACGATAAAGGGGCCCTCCTTTAGTTGCGTGAACTAATCTGACAGGTGGTATAGTCTTTGCCTCGATTTGTTCTTGAGATAGTTTGTGAACCTTGTATAAAGGGTACGCATATGGTATTTCAGGGCGGATTTCAGGTGCGTGGACCATGTTCCCCTTGTCATTTATACCTGTGATTCGCTTCTTTACCTCCTCAGAGATGATGTTCAGATGATGATGTTTGAGGACTGCTTCCTTCACTTTCAATTGAGTCTGCTCCATTTTCACTCCTACACTTATCTCCAATTTTGTAAATTTTGTCTCCTTCTCCAGTTCAGATTTAACTGTGTCCATCACGGTCCTATAGTCCAAAAGCAGCGTAGCTCCACCTTTGTCCGCACTCGTGACGAATATACTTTGATCCTCTATTGATTTCAAGACCCAGCCCTTTCCTCTCTGTTCGGCATCAGTAAGGTTTGAATGTGGTTCGTCAGGATTTGGGTTTGTGACGAATCCCGTCAATCTTGTTTTGATTTCATCGAACAGGGGATGACTGTAGTCTTGCGGATGCCTTCTAGACCGTAGTCGCAAATCCTTGTGGATATCTTCAGTATCACCGGCTGTATCTGTTTGGGTTTGGTGGAAGTATGCTTTCCATTCCATCTTTCGCAGGAACTCTTTAACGTCAAAGAGTAAATCTTCTTTTGCTACTGGTCTACTCTCAACAAAGTTGAGACCTTTTGCTAAATACATGTACGCGATGTCCGGTACTTCTTGTGAAGAAAGGTTTATAACCAATTTACCCTTGATGTTCCGTTCCACATGGTTTTTCATCCACTCAACCTTTTTGGCGGCTTTTGATGCACGATATTTCTTTCTTTCCGCTCCTCTTTGGTCAGCATTCCGTTTCCGTTTGCTGATCCTGTTAGTGTTGGGTTGAGGATGAGAGTTTTGGCGCTCTTGTTTTGCCTTATCAAGATGGAATCTGAATTTCTTGTCCAGCCTCTTTAGGTTCGTTGTCCTTAACCTACGATTCTGGTCGTCAATAAGCTTTTCTATCCTCTCTCGATCTACGTATCTATCTAGTGCTTTACTAAGACCAAGTTGTAATTTATTCGTGTCACGTTGAGCCTCTGTAATAGCGCATTGCTCCAAGATTTGAACCCTAGCCTGGAGTAAGATGGACTGGGACTTCTGGTCTAAGTCTTTGTGATGGAATGATTTGCCGATCTTGGGGCGGATACTGGGAAGTATTTTAGTGCTGAGGAGGACGCTGTCCTCCTTCACTCGGTTGAGTAGCCCTAGTTGCAATTCTCTTTTGACGAGCTTTTCAGAGAGATTTAAACTGTAGTTATCTCTTTGTGCATCCCGCGGTCTTGGTCCCATGGTTGGTGATTAAGCGTTCTCCGTACAAAACTCCGGGCTGATGTGTTCACACAAAACAGTAGACGGTACTAAGAACTGCTCCAAGAACTCGTGAGGATGCAGATGTTAGTTTGCAGATCTGTGTTGATGTGGTTTCATTTTCATTAATATCATTTCTAATTTCTTCCCTACCCCGCCTGGGGCTCTCTCTGTCGTTAGCGTTGTCTTCATTCTTCTCTACTTCCGCTTCACCTTCTTCTTTTATAGGGTGCAAAGCAGCTTCGGTAGAACTTGTGGGTTTGGCGGTAAGCACCTGTTGGAGCGAGGTGTCATTCTTCTTGTCGCACCCAAAACATTGCCATGATGTTCCGGGAGGTAGCGTGCCATCCTGAATCAGTTGGTTGAGGGCTTTTGCTTTCTCAATCATAGCTTCACAATTGTGAGAACCCTGCAAACAGAGCCGACATTTCAAAAGCGGTTCATCAGTCAGTTCGTTGCAGTAAGTTCCCTTGCACATAGCACAGTCTATGTCAAACAGGGTTTCAATCTTGAGTATCATCTTATCGCACAGGACTTGCTGATTCTTGTACAATTTCTTTTCTGTTTCTTTTTCTCGGACGGTGAAACCAAGATATGTCGCACAAGCTTCTAATAATGTGGCATTATTTTTCAGCATATTGTCCAAATTGGCCTTGTAGGTTACAGCGAAACTATACGAGCTTAGCACTTTCTTGCTGGGAGCATCAGCTTTATTGAGCAGGTTTCCAAGTACTAGCTTTTTCGCTTCATCGCTTTCTGATTTCTGATTACTGCCACTAGCCATAATAGTTCTTCAAGAAGCAATGTACATAAAATGTATACCACCCAGTGTATAAATAACTACAGAACAGGCCGTTAACTGTGTAATCGTTTAAACGAGTATTCGTGTAAACGTGTGTAATAGCGTGTAAGAGCAAACAGTTGCAGAGCGACTAAAGTGTAACGTATTATAAAGTGCAAAACAAAAATCTTTTTTCGACTACATTGAAAACAAAACCCCTACTAAATAGTGGGTATAATTTGCCCATTTCCCAATGTTTAATGAGCTGTTTAAAGCAATTTATGGGTGGGTATCTTATTTTATATACCAAGACACAGTTAGTACCGTGATTTCTCAACAGTTATCACCACAAAAGCCGCGAAGGGGGTGGGTGGGTTCCAAAATTACACTTAGTCGACGTCACGTACAGAACTTAGTACCTGATCCCCCCGTATCACCCAACAAATACTTAATAATTGCTGTGTTTGATCCTCGTTATAATAATATAGATCTCAGAAGTATAATTATCATTTCACTCATCAAAAACCATCTCAATAATCGTTTATGTTTATTCATTAATGCTTTTCATACAAAGTTATAACGAATTCTTCATGTCGTGCATCCTGGGTTTGATTCTCATTCAAGTCTTACCAGACGCGTTAATTGAATTTGATAAATTTATAGAATTAACTATTATATGCAAAAAACTAAAGAAATATAAATTGAATTGTACCGGACTACCTGAGCGGACCCTGATTGGCGGTATATGCATTTCACTGATCAAATACTCATTAATCGTCTATGCTTTGGTCCTCAGTATAATTAAGAGAGGGAAGTTAATTTGATAGATCTCGCAAATAGAACTAATTTAGAAAATAAATAAATTGTGACATGGCGGTGTATGCTTAATCAGTTCACTCATAAAATACTCATTACTCAATAATCGTTTTTATCCCTATTACCATTAATTTTAAGCTTTTGACTCATTCGAAAAAGGGGCAATGGCCTTGGATTCTCGCCCAGCGTACTTAGATTCACGTGCTTTGTGAATCTTACAAATTCGGATTAGTTGTCCGATTCCTTGCTCAATCTCGCGGGACGATACTCTAATCTCTATTCAGTTAGACGGCACGTGAGTCGTGATGTATTAAGTAAAATTCATAAATCAGATCACGGAAATAAAATTATGGAAAAGCAAAAAGGACAATAAATTGAATTTTAATAAATAATAGGCCATGCCTGCAGCTGATGCTTTATAACTTTACTTTACACATTTACACAATCAAGCAGCTTTGTCCTTGATTTCATTGATCATGTAAATAGAAAGAGAAAACCCTAAAAAGCCATGTATGGCCATTGGCGGAAAATGCTTTATCCTTTTATCATTTCACTCATCAAATATTCTATAATAATTGTTCATGTTTTTATCCTCATTATATTTACATTTGTAATTATAAGGACTTAGTAAACACTAAGTCCCCCTTTTTTATTGTTTATAAAAAGGGTTTAGGACTCAGTGATTAGATCAAAGTATTATCCAACTTTGAGATGAAGAGATTGATTTAAAATTGTTGGAGGCGCGGTAAATTTCAGTCTAGAAAGAGCTGTACTCCTGGTGTCTATGAACTAAACTCTTACAAGAAATAATGTCAGACATGAAACAACCTGCAGTTGTTGCCACTTGGTTCACTTAGCAACTACACAGCTCATTATTTGTTTTGTCTCATAATATACTATCACTTACAGAAACTACTCTCAAATTACGTTCCGTGCTCCACGCAACAATACGGTATTTTTTGTCCAGGGTCATCGTGGATGATGTAATCTTGTATATCTCCATTCTCCCTAGGCCATTAACAGCGTTTTGTAATAGGCCGTGATCCGATGATGCTGTGTTACTTCACTTTAGTTTTCAATAATGGTTCACCCATAAATTATTATTATTTTTGACTTTTCAGGAGAGTATGTGGGGAAATTGCCAGAAACAGGAGTGCTTTGTAAGGAAACGTATGGCAGACTCCGGGACATGTTGAAACGAATACTACAAGATTTAAAGAAGCTAGGTTACCAGTTGGGATTCGACCCACTTTTGAACCAAAATGCAGACAAAATGATAAGTTTTATCACTCAAATTCAGGATGACTTTCGACTCGGTGAGAAATAAAATAATGCACATTTAGCTTCAAATTTTGATTGTAACAATCCGATCGGTTTAAGGTTTAGATCTATGAAAGCAACTGAAACAACACTAGGCCCGAAAGGAATAAACTAGGAATACGAGATGACCGGTCGCGGTTAAAAAAATGTATATTTATTAACCATACATCTTTAGGATTGTACGTGCGAGGGAGTTTCTGCACGAAGACGAGAGCAGCGATACACAGACATTTGTACGAATCTGAAGTGGCAGCCTGGTGCCATCCCTACAAACCTCTCTCCTCTACCTTGTCTACTGAACATTTATCTGTCAAGTCTGAAAAACTTAGTCCCAGTAACTCCTCAACTGTTATATCAAATACGAACACCAAAGAGCAACATTCTTTTTTGCCAGGTCTGTGAACAGTGTAGTTAAGATGCAATCCCGTACCCCATTACATATCTTAGTTTAAAGACTGCTCTATCAAGAAGAAAAATGTATGACATAAGTTTGACTGCTCTAATAGTTCAATGAATTTTGTTAATATAACTACAATTATTGTCAATTGAGAACTGATCTATCATTTAAAAGTATTCTATAGTTTGGAAATCCAGAGTTTAATTGTAACTTGTGTCAAATATTCAAGACATAAAATTAAATTCAATAAAATGAAATCAACACTGTATAGAATAAAATTAAATTGTAAAGGCGTCCCTTGACATCTGAATCAACAGCGAGACTTCCTCAGCAGTTTGTCCACTAGAACCTGTCTAACCAGCTGCTTTCTGTAATCCTTCCATATCCGTCGTGAATTATATTCTTTCAGCTGCTCATCGACAGATATTTTTGCATTAAGGAGCTCATCGAAAAGTTTGGCCATAATTTCCCCAGATTTGTGCAGCATAAAAGGGGTTTTTGGGACGTAAAGGATTGTGGTAGCTTCTTTAGCTCCTACAACATAGTCTTTTTCACGAACGAATGGAAGGAAAAGGTCCCCAGCCACGTACGTCTGAACAGAGAGGAATTTGAGAGTCGGAAACTCAGGAGGAGGTGGGGGCAGAGTCAATAGTCCTTCAAAATCGAAGGGCTGTTCCATGGTGGTTCGCGCCCGAACTTTCTGGGTAACTGTTTCTAGTGTTTTGTTCTCAATCGAATCGTCGGGAAGCTTGACAATCGTTGTCCCGCCAGGAAGTGGCTCTTGACTGACACTAATTTGCTTTTCTAAAACTGCTGATCCAGAAACGACAACACAAGCATACGTGTCTAAATGAGCTGAAGGAGGATCAGAGGAGTTTTGGTTATCTAAACAAAAGTCCTCTCCTTTGATTATAAGATCGCCTTTAGCGAAAGTTTTTATGTAAGAAGTATCGATTGCCCTTTTTATATCAGCCTCTGGCACATTTTCAACTTGAGGTATCTTTCTTATAACATTGGATTTCATCATTCGTTCTTCGTCATGATAAACTCCAAGCAGCTCTATAAAATCTTTGCCCTCAAGCGTAAAACATTCACAAGGTTCACGAGTTTTAATGGTGAAAGTTCGCACACTGGAATAGGCGATACTGTGATCCCCAAAGCTAGCTCCTTCAGTAATAGGTTTTCCTTGAGGCGCGAGCACTTCTCTACTTCTTGACTCTTCTTCTGTAATACCGTCTTCAGATCCTTCCGAAAGTGGCATGTTGACCGTTTTAAAAAGCTGTACCGAACCAGATAGCAACAAATAAAAATATTTTGGAGATGCTCCCTCTCGGAAAATCACCGTATTTTCGGAGTAGCAGTTATACCGAATCTTCGTAGCAAGTTGTCGCTTGGTAAATACAGAGTATTTATTAAAGCATTGCATTCTGTTCATGTAACCTAATATGACTACTAAATCATTTTTACATCGATAGTGAGGTTCTTTAAACATAAGAAGCTTAGCATGAATGTTTAAAACCTGGTGTTGCTGGACATGCTTTGAAAACTGCGCAACATTGAAAACTCTCTCTTGGACCCTTCCTGCGACAATTCTACGCATCACAAAACCCCTATCCTTTCCGGACGATTTCAGTTTCTCCCAACGTACAAAGCTCACTATCACTCGAGATAGCATCCTCCATCGAAAACTTCGTTTAAGATAAGCACGAGAAACCTCAGGAGTTGACTTCTTTGCAGTAAATCGCTTAACAGCACCACGAACACCATAAAGCGTCGCGGAAACGTCAGACAGATGAGAAGTTCTGTCACCATGACTGGAATTCTTCGATAGTATAATATCCATCACCATGCTTAGTTCATTTATCTACGAATTAGTCGGAAGACTGAAGCATAAAATCACGTCAAAATGTTTTCGACTACAATAAAGAATGAGATGTGTGGCTGGCACAATTTGCACGTGCGTTCTTATAGCAACCGTTACCAAATATTACCAAGTTTAACGTCATCAAAATTGCAAAGAAAACACATGTTTAAGATGGCCCTCTGTTCAACAATTGCCTGTCCATATGAAAGGGCACATTTAAGTGCTTGATATACGTGAGTACATGCTAGTCCAGTCCAATTCGGTAATTTACTAAGGCGTATAGTGGATCTAAATCAACTAATAACGCGAATTGGTCATTGAAATGTGCTCCTACGCGTATGAAATATAATCAAAAACTCTGGACGATTAGGCAACATCTCTCGCGGAACAATGAAGATAACATTATGTTGTAAACAAAAGCTATTGAATACAGTCGGTCGTAATTAGGGACTTTAATGCCCTTGCCACATGTCACAGTGTGTTAGTGACTATTCACAGATATTTGAAGATATCAAATATCAATTGGCAATTATATGTACAGCAGTTATTCCTTACGTGAAATTTTATCGGGTATTTTATCATTTACTTGTATTGCCCGTTCATTGCAAAAAATACACTTACACTGCTTTTCTCGGATGGTGTATGGCAACCCTACTGCACTTTTCTTCCTGGCTGGGGGCGCTGGCGGAAGAATTGGATCGCGGACTGGTGGAACTGGTGGAGCTGGCGGTTTGGGATCTCGAGCCGGAATAGGGGGTTTCGGTGAATCTTCTGCTGAGTCTGAAATAATAAACATGAATTACATTCAAGTTTTGATTAAAATAAAATATTCGAATTTTAATGAAATTATTATGGCAAATGAGTAACAAAGTTGAGCCGACAAATCGATTATCACATTTAATAAATTCCTGACTTTCGCTCTAACTGATAAACCATTAGTAAAACAAATCAATAAATTCCCCAAGTTCGTTAAAAAGTTAACGGTAAAAATACCGGCTCGAGATAAGGTTCGTGGAGAAGGTTCTGTGCAGTCGTCCGAAGCTTCACTTGTGGAGGGAGGTAGGACGGGCGAACACTCGGGTGATTCGTGATCACTGGTGGCACTTCGGCCACTGTTTGAAAACTTGTACCCAAAGAACTGGTGAACAAATTATTAATTGATGATGTGAGTGTTGACAAAAGATTACCCATTTTACAAGATAAATCATTTTTTAAATCCTAGGCCCTAGATATTTCATATTGCTATAATTTACATCAAAGCTCTATCTCTCTATCCTCAGAATCACGCAACAGATCTACCTCTTTTGGAGATCTGGTGCTTCCAGGAGACACCGTATTCTTGCTACCAGGAGTCCTGAGACCGCCCTCGCTAGCGTCACTAAGACTGCTGTCTCTGTGGCGCCGAACTGAGTCTGATTTTCCCGCCCTGCCTGCTCCCATCAACGATCCTGATCTTTTCTGAAACAGTGTAAGAGGTAATAATCGCTGGCCAAATAAAAAATAATCATTAATAATCCAAGTTACTTGCCTTCGTTATCAAATCAATAACTGCAAGTAATTAGATAACGACAAGAGTTACTGACGGGATGTTATACCGACAGAACTTATGAACGTTTTGTAAATTTTACAATCCTTCAACGAATAAAATGAATCAATAAACAGTCTTAAATTAGTAGTACGACGACACTGCTGCGGCAGTCCCCAGACACTTATGTTATAAATATATTCACATCCAAGACAAATATATCGGAATATATTCACAGTAACGCAACGGGGGTTTGAGTGTGCAAAAATGTATTACTACTAGAGTCTGTAGTTAATGTTTCCTACCAAATGTATGTGAAATAACTACAATCTCAAGTCTGTGGAGACTTTTAGAATTGTGGTTAACACATACTATCTCTTCTCTAGTTTTTCCAAAATACAACCGACATTGATTTGGGGCCAGTTTTTTCTGATGATATGTTTGTATTAGTTATATTTTTTGTTCATTTTTAGTTCTAACAGCACCGTTTTTCCCGACGAATTCAGAAAATAAAACATGGCAGGAAGAGGAGAGACAGCTTCCATCATCTCCAGGGCTCCTTCGGAAACATACACTGAAATAACTGCAGAGGAAGGGCCAGTTTTTACAGTTGACGAGGCCATGGCAAACATTGGAATGGGACCCTATCAGTACAAGCGTTTCCCTCTAGTTGCAATGGTCGGATTTTCCCAATCGTGTGTTCTGATGTTACCGTACATCCTCATCGTTTATTTCACGTGTAGCTATCATCTGAGCACAATCGAACAAGGCATTACTATTGCAGTCATGTTGACCGGAAATCTGTTGGGAGATCTGGTTGCTGGGATGGTATGTGATCGGGCCGGCAGGAAGTTTGTCCTGGTTTTGGGAGTTTGGGTATTGACATTAGGAACACTTTCACTTCTGCTTTTAACTCATTTTTTCATTTTCTTGCTGTGGAGGACTTTTAGTTTGGGGATCGGTATCGGTCTCTGTACTTTTACAGCGATCATCTATGCGTCTGAAATGGCAACACCCGAAGCTCGAGGAAAATCAATAACACTGATTAACATATTTTGGGGAATAGGTACTCTTTACACAGCAACTGTGGCCTACCTTTTAATGAACAGTATGGGAGTAAAAATGGTTATAATAGCGGTTTCAATCCCGTTGATGATAACCTCAATATTATGCTGTTTACTGCCAGATACTCCGAAATATATGGCATCTAGTGGCGACCTAGACGGAGCAAGAATGGTTCTGAAAGCGATGGCAAAGGAAAACGGCAAGGAGTTGCCAGCAGGAACATTGATCATTCGAACAATAATGAGACGTGGTGAAGTGAAGGATATGTTCGAACCAGAGCACCAAAGACACAGTATCATGATGATGTTGATTTTCTTTTCAGCGGGATTTGTATTCTACACTGGTTACGCCATGACTCCGTACATCCTTGAAGAGGGCTACTGCGGGTTACCGAAACCAAAACATGCACATGTGTGCCATTTCTCCAGCGACACACTAAAAGAAGCAGTGATAATCACAGCAGCCGAGGTGACGCTACTTCCCTTCACAGCACTGCTCTCAGAAAACTGGGGCAGACTTCCCACCATGCGGCTCATCGCCACCCTACTCCTAGCAGCATCTCTTCTCCTTTGCTGGTGTATGGGTCCTCTTATCTTCCTGGCTGCTCTGTTCGTCCAGCGTGGAGCATGTCAGTCCCTCTTCAACGTCCTCTACCTCTACACTCCAGAGCTGTATCCCACCTACATGCGGGCCGTATCGTGCGGGGTTGTCATGTCCTGTATGACCGGTGGAGGTCTCGTCTCCTCTCTCCTCGTCTACACTCTCGGAGAGGGTTACAGTTGGAGGGTCCTCCTGAGTCTGATTGCGGCGTGTGCGGTGATAGTTTGTGTTACTACTTTCTTACTGGAGCTGGAAACCCAGGGGACCTATTTGCCTGACATGTCAGTGGAGGTGGGGGCATGTATCCCGTGTAGGTTCGTTAAGAAGAAGATAAGGAAGAAGATAAAGAGGTATCAGAGCAGGAGAAATACGCAACTTCTCTCTGATGATGATGATAGCGATGAAAATGAAGTTAATGAAGGAGTAGAACAAAACGAGGAACAGCCGAGTACTTCACACGATAATGAAGGGTACGAAGATATTGGAGGGACATAGCTGTAAGATTCACAGTTGCAAGTACTTGATGACTTAGGATTTGTTTTGAAAGATTTTATTGGGACTTAACTTAATAAAACAGAATAATTAAAACTTACAATCGATTTTGATCTAATTTCTTTTTAATTGATTTTGATTTAATAAAAAGTGCTTCTTGACTTGTCTGGAAAAAAAACTATTGACTTACCACTTTTTGGGGCACCACAGTTATGTTCCACTTATTGGTACGAGGATAAGCTTTAGGTGGAGCTCCTTTCGGTTCTATATCCAGACTCAAATTGTACAAATCTGTCTGCAGCTCGTCGGACGTTCGACCTCTAAAAGGATCCAAATTCCTCAAGAAATCCTGAAAATAGACACCAGATTTGTAGATCAAGGCTGATAAAGTACTAGTCAGTAGAGAAAAGAACAGCTTATTTCTTGATATATACTCCCTTAATAGATAGTTAACCAGATTCTATAAAATTCACTGGTCTCCTCTCCTATAACCCTTACCTGAATCGAGTCCTCAGGAGCGAAATTATATCTCTCATTTTGATAGAGTTTAATCTCCGAGATAATATCAGCTATCATACGGAACTTGGTCAGGTTTATCATTTCGTCCTTCCTGTCTCGGTTTCCGTCTTGTGTGTGCATTATCTTCGTTTTGTAAATCCCTGTGTAGAAATGTAGAATTAACTATTTTATCTAGAATGTATGTACTTGACTTTTCCCACATGCACAATGTGACGAATAATTTCGAAATTAGATCATATTTTCATAATTTGACGTCACGAGGACACATGTTTATTACTTTGTGTATGGCGAGTTCAGTTGATCAACTATAAATTTGTAATGAAAAATAGTAGCTAGTACCAATGAAAGGTATGCAAGGAGGATCACAGTTCTTCAACAGTTCTTTGTAGCTCTTAAAATTCATTGCTGGCCAATCACCAACCTGAGAAATAATACTGGTAGATTACATGAAGACACGAAACTAGGAGAATCAAACCCAAACATATTTTGAACTGTCACTGATATAACAATGGAATTTAATTAATAAATTAATTAATTAACGAACTCACTTCTTTCAGGACTTCTTCTTTCTCTTTGAAGAGCTTCTTAACGGTGTGGTCTAATCGGTAAACCTCCGCACTTCTCAAAGCACTGTTAACTTCGAACACACCAGTGTAGTTGTTCATACTTTTCAGATACTAAATAAAATGCTGTTATTATAAAATATTCCATTAAATCTGGTAAATTACAATATCATGGCCCATTGTATTGACGAATTCGCTACAATTCAAAACGCTCATACGATGTCATTCTGAAAACAATATGAAAACACCGAAATGAAAAAAACTGCACAACCCCACAAACCTCCATAACTTCGAAAACTCGGGAAGCTACGTATATCCGCTCATCAAGGTTCTGAGTCTCCACAATGCTCTGGCGGATCCAGAAGACAAAGCGCTCCGAAAAGTTGACCATCTTAGCCATGTTGCCACCCTGTTTCTCTTCGTGTGACCCTGTAAGACATCTGGTTCAAATATTAGTTACCCAAGTCAGAGGCCATGACAAACATGCAGAAAAACTGTAAATAGAAAATTAAACTATTTTCCGGCCAGTAAATTAGTAAATAGCCCGGGGAGAAATGTACTCAGGTTGTAAAATAGGGTCAATTTTTTCATCGGGATTCGGTATTTCACTATCTTCATCGTCGAATGAACCAATCTAATTAGTATTTTAAAACCCAGTTTTAAAACTTGAATTATATTTTAAACTGACCGAGTAACTCTTGAGGGGTGACGCTTCTGTAAAACTCGTTTTCAATCAAGGTCGCTTGTTTTGCGATCTCCAGAGGATGTAACTGAAATATTTACTCTGTCAGCTACTCTTTGTTGGTTAATCAGTTTATCATACATATTAAATAATTGATTATTTGAAACCTATTTATCCATACTAGTGAACTCTTCAGACAGATTCGACAAGCAAAGACTAAAGATATAGCTTTTACCATCCCTATCAATAGTAAGTCATTACCCTGCAATATATTCTACGATTCCGCTATGTCTAACAACATGCGACTGTTACTCCGCAGTAACAGTGACTACACCTCCTACACCTCCTACACCTCCAGTAAAGAATAACAACTTACAATATCACTACAATCCCCCACTACTCACGGAGAACAAGGAGTACTCTTCCTGGAGCCGGGAGAGATGCCAGACAACAGGTTCAGAGCTCCCCACCACACTGTCCCCTCTCTTTCTTTGCTGGTGCTCCTGTTTCCTCTGTATAGTCCTCTCCAGCGGGTTTATCCACTTTCTCATTGTGGTCTGCTTTCGTTTACAACTGATGTGGAACGGTTAGTACTAGTAGGGGCTGGGGTTTCTGCTATTTATGTTTTCAAATTCCTCAAATAAAACCCCACTCTCTCAAAAACTTGTACTTTTTAGTTTTTAGTACTACTATGATTGTTTTACAATCTTTTCTATGACAATTCTGATAGTTAATTTTTCGATGGTAAATTAAATAAATGCTTATGTCACACATGCACAAAATAGCTTTATCAGGCGGAAATGAAATATAACATGTCAGAAAAGTGTTGCGCAATAATTTCAAAGCTTACACTTCAAAGAATCCCATCATGATTGACACAAGTTCCGTCTCCTTTTCAAAATCATCAAAGTGATAATCAATCCAGTGTCGCATAACGTTGATAACACGTAGTTGTACTGGTTTTATGTACTCTTTTTGTAGTCTCTTCTTTATTTCGATCTGCAATTAAAAGGAGGAAATTATTTAGATGAAATGGACATATTAAGTTCTCTTAGTCTTATACGTGAGTATTGAGTAAATTGAAGATTTGTATACTCGTGTATTGATGTCCCTCTCGAACCAAAACTATAACAATGCGAGTTGTCCACCGGTTGCATGTATAGCAATGCTTTTCTGTGTATTCATGAACTAGGTAAAGTACAGAAATACATTCGGAGACTTTTTATCATTTCGGTACAGGTATTCTGTATGGGTGTTTGTTAATGGCTTTTCTGCCAAGCTTTGTTCCGAGGCAACCACTGCAATAGGTTCTTACTTCCACAATAGTATCATGAGTTCGAAAAAGTGGGAGTAGGAAATGAAAATTATGTTCTTTTAGGTCTCTAACCAACATATTGTTTCTACTCTAGTCTGTGTGTCGTCTATATAATTGTTGTATAGCAAGTTGTTGCTAAGCAACATCTTTGAGTACAGATATTTTCTAACGTTTTCATCATTAGATAACGTGTTTTTTATTCTTTTTCGTCGTAATAATTTCCAATTTATAGATTAACAGTTCACAGAAACACGTGAGAGTGTAGTTACACAAACCTTGACAATATCGTCTGTGTTGTTCTCCAAGTCTTCTGGAAGAGGAATATCGTATCTCTGCATCAGCAGTTCCAAGATCTCGCGAGGTTTTGCGAAAAACCGAAATGTCGTCAAAAACTGCTTCACTAGTGCCAAATCTAAAGACAAAGCGTAATCATTACATTTAATTATGTTAATTATGTTAATTATGTTTATTAATTGTAAGGTGCTAGGATGATATTGTGAGGCAGTTATTCTAATTAAATGATTATAAAAATAATCAATTTAATGTAATTTACCTGTGTATTTATGGTAAGTGACTCGCTCGACAAGCTTAGCTAGTGTCCCCTGAGCGATGGTAGGTATGGAGGTGTAACTCTTGGACTTGTTGTCGATAAACCGAATATTGCTGTCTGTATCCGGCTCCGTAAACCTAAGCAAGTAAGATCCCATTTAGAAATATTATATAATGGCTTTTTTTATCTGTAGGACCTTAACTTTTTATTGCACCATTTCATGTTATCGAGTAACTAACAAAATTTAGAGATATTTTCAAACAAAATTATACTTGTTATTATGAAAACAGATAGTCTATGCCACCCCTATGATCCAAGGATACCCCGAACAACCCCAAGCAAGCAACGGAAGATAAATTACCCATATTGGCTAGGGAGAAGAGAATAAAAGTCTAGATAGGTAGTTTCTTCCTGTTGTGCCACTTGAGTGAGGACCTTTCGAGCAGTGAGGATCAACAGAGCTGATACCCACTCATCTTTGTGACGCCAGTTCTTCGCTTGGAACTTAATTTCTGTATCTCTATCGGGTTGGAATTAGCTAATTTGGTAATTAATTAATTGGTTCATCACATTTTGTTAGTTAATTAGCAAATTTAAGGAAGCTAAGAGTAGCGATAATAGCAAATAAAGCAACGTTGCAACATAATAGCGAACAATCCGAAAGCCACAATATAACCACAGATTTCCATCTCAACATCTCCTGGTAAATCCTGAACTTTCAAACCTGAACACAACATCAAAGCAAGCATCTTCAGGACCATAATCATTGATCTGAGTCAGATCCTTGACCAAGTACTTTTCTTTGAAGGGGGTTCGGAGGTTGGTTGCTTTGGCGTTTACGTCCTGAAGAGATGTTTGCCATGCCCGGCCATGCAGCAACAAGAAAACTTGAAATTATAAACCTAGCATTTCAGCAGATAAACGGCGCTTTGCGGTAGAATAGCAGAAACAGACAAACAAAAAAAAAACAGACAAACTGACAGACAGAGATTGGTAAAAGAACATACAGATAGGTAATCAGAAAGATAGACAAACAAACATACCCTTGCACATATGATGATCATGCCGTCAAATAAGTAGCAGTGCTTCAGTTTTGGTTCTCGTTTATCTGTAGCGATGTACAAGTTTCCATCTGATGGCGGTGTTAATTAGTTAATTATTTTATTAACTAATTATCCATTTTATTTAATTTATCGTTGTAAAAAAGTGTCAAATAACTTGTTATAAAGGAATCGTTCTCCTTTAGTAAGTAGAAGAATACCCTCACAGTTTTCACAGTACTTACTAAGAATGTGCTCGCTGCAGATCTGGGAGAAGGTCTGATAGCTCTCCTGAAAAGGTTTTCTTTGTTACTCAATAGTTAGAGGAGAAAAGTAACCTAGTTATACAAAACGTATCTATACCTTATGCCACCTACCTGTTACCTACACCATTCTTTATATACACTTCATAGTACAGAAGTACAACTTCTCTTGTTGTCATCCTTAAATCTTTTGTTAACTATTTTAAATTGTGCTGTTTTTGTTTTCATATTTACACTCATGCGGTTAACAATTTTACTGTTTTATATTTATTTTGGATTCCTTGAACAGGACTGGCAGGATTTTTTAAAGAAGTTATTTTCACAGAATTTGCTTGATCCTAAAAATGACGTCTATACCCAGTGCCTGAGTACACCTGCTGATAACACAGAATATGCCACACTTTCCCACGTGTGTTCAGACAGTGCACAGCACTATATACTGTACAGCACTGTATACTGTACACTGTATAGTATATGCAGATTAAAGACGTGTTATGTATCAAGTAGTATGTTTATTCTATACACAGAATGTAGTCATTTCTGCACTCATTGAACTTTGAACACGTCATTTAATCATCGTCTCTCTTTTCCCCGGAATTGTCACTATAATTTGAAATTTGAAACTTAATTCGGGTTATTTTGAAAGTCATATTTCGTTTAAATTTGAGCTAATAGAGCCTTAAACCCTTGAAATGGTCTACCACTGTGGTTTACTACCATTCACTTTTTATTGACCCTGTATTTCACTCTTTGTTTTGCTTACTTCCCACACTTCCATATCTTGTACGAATCTGTTTATAGTGCTTACCAAACTATAAGAGCAGCCAAAATTTCAATTTTATTAGTTTGATATAATTGGATTGAAGGGACAATAAGAACACCACTAATGTTCACTAATGTTCAGTCACGTACGTTAAAGTTCAGTTATATCCACTACTGCTTTATTCTCAAACTCACAAGAAAAGAGGACATTACCAGACACTCCCCCACACAGATATATCTGACATTAATCTTCGTAAAATCATGTAACGTCACTATCATTTTTACATGAAATGTTGATTTGATTCGAATTGGATTGAATTCAAGGGCTGGAAACTTTCTAGACTAGTGTCACTAAATCTTTATAAAGACAATGACGTGGTCATCACTGGCTTTGTCACCACTGACTACTTTCTCATTACTGATTACTGTGGTTTCTGAATTTACTGGGGACAATCCATGAGCTCATGAATACCTATAATACGTACTTTAGATCTCTAAGTAAGAGTAACGATCTGGTAATGCGAATGTGACATTCGGCAATCATGTAAAAGTGAAAAACTCCAGTGGATATTTATAACGTGTCTTTGTAAACTTGATAAAAAATGATATCGTTAATACGTTAACAGGATTTCTTTGACATGAATGTTGATACTACAAATACGTGTAATGTCAATATCAGATGTGAATGATATCCAACTCACCCCACGGAGGACTGACACAAAAAAGTTGTACTAAGAATACAATATGTAGTTTGAAGACTGTCCTCAATTTTAATCCTTGAATTTTGTACATGGCGAGTTTTAACTCTCCTATCCTCTGGCATGTTTTTCAAATATTTGGACCTTAAATCTCCTGCTATAAAAATTACGCTCGCTTAAAACCTCAAACCCGATAAAATGGTGACCGGTAGTAACACGTCATTTACCCTGACTCCTGAGTCACCGTTCCCATTGCACGAGCCCTTTTGCATTTTTATGTCCAGTTATTGTTTTATCTAATTAAGGTTTTACCGCATTAGTTATTTTATTAAATTTAGGATTTACAGGATCGATACATCAGACCAATTGACCAAACCGCAAACACCATCCTAACCCAGGAGTGACAAATTAATCTCGGTACAGACACGAAATGATCGTACAGATGAGCCGGGATAGCGCATGATCATTGACAACCTAATTTTTATTCAACATATTTTTGCGATTTTAGGCCGTTTTCATCACCATTAGCTGCCTTAAAAGCAGGGAGAACAGGACGAATACAAACCACTGAGGATGAGGTTACTCGAGTCCTCAGTCAGTACTCGTTAGTGCGGTTAAACATAATGTCATCGCATTATTCTGCAGAAGTTATCCCTCTTTTTAAAAGAGTACGTGTTCTACATTTTTACAAACATCATTCCTATCAATAAAACGCCCCACGGACTATGTTAGATTTCCTGGAAACAATATAGATGACTACTACAAGTTGCACATGAAAAAATGAAAAGGCTAGAAAGACATGGAAACTGAAATATAACGACATTTAAATGATTTGTAGGATATTAATTGTCTATTATACCTCACTTCAACCATTTCATACCTATATTTGATAACTCTACCTCCTAGTTAGGATGAAAATATCCCTACTGATAACACTACTGATAAGTGTAGCTGTAGCCTCTGTTCCAGAAAACGAGGATGAAGATGATATCATAGAAGAACATGAAGTATTCGCAGATATTGGTATGTTTACATATGTTTAGATATGTTAACATGTAGAAATGTTGCCTGTATTGGGGAGGCGGCAGTTAGCAGTTAGCACCCTACACTTACTAGTAGTTATCAAGTGGATTTGGTCCATTTACCCAGAGTGGAAGGCAGATGCATTTAGGTTAGCCCCACTCCTAATGAAGATTATTGGGTCTGTGCCAAATGTTTGTTTTCAGTTGGGCGGGCACAAACCGCCAACTCACATTCACACCGTCCCACAACCCTAAACTTTACCACGTAATGACCACATAACGACCACAATTCCCATCAAATCAAGATCGACTATAATATTCAGATTTATTTCAGACTATAAGTGTATACAATTTATGTATTACTGAATATACCGATCAATACTTCAAAACCATAAGTTTAGACCACAACTTTCACTGAGACGATAAATAAAAACATCCATTAATTAATAATTTACCAATCAAGAAACACCTCCGCAGAGGATTCGGAAGTAGAACCAGGTGATTACGAAGCCTACATGGACTCTATGGTAGAGAGAGAGCGAGAAGCACGATCTTCAGGAGAAGATATTGCTGCAGAATCAGCAGTGCCTTCTTGAGGGGGTAAATAAATCTACACAGACAAAACATTGGAACACGCTTTTCACTGTCATTTATAAGAAAGTGAAAGGTAGTTCTAGGGTAGTCTAAACTTTACGAAGGTGCTTTTTTTAGCCAGACTACATAACTGTGTGGATCGAAAGATTGGTTTTGTAAAATGTTCCGGATTTATGACTTGGAAAACTTAAATAAGTTCCCTTACGGTTTTTTGATGATAAAGGTCGTTTTACAAACTTGAATATGTGTTAAGATGCTGTTTTACTGTCTTTAAAACTTGATAAAAACCTGTACAATACCCTTAAAAATGACTGTAAACTATCATAAAAATCTTTAAATTGAATTAACAATATTTAAAACACTAAATCAATTGATTGATCAGGATATACGTTATCTATATCATTTCATTAACATCGGTTTGCTCACCCCAAAATGTTCGATCTTCTCGAAAGCACTGTATGCTCTCAGGACGCCAGCTTTTCTTGGTGTAAGGTGAGGAGCATTGTCCCTGTAAAAAGGTGGAAATAGTATTTATTTAACACAGCGTCATAGATTTTAGATTACACTTCTGAGATGATAATTCGTCCAGCATTCCTATCATACCTGTGTGGATAGTCTTGCTCTATCTGCAGCAAGATATCTGAAATCCTTGCAAAGTTTTCCATGGTTTGCTTCAAAAACTCCACTTCGTTTTTTCTGTCTTCTTCTGTGTTCAGATTCGGGGCACTCATAAAAGTAAGTAAATCCTGCAAAAAGAGGAAGTTTAAAATCAGTGCGTGCAACGATTTTGGTAGTACAATAGGATTAGGATCACGATCAATTCCTTTCTCAGTTAAATCACAAATACACACCCCCCCCCCCCCCCCCCACCACGCTCAGCAACATAAACTTGGTAAGCTTTTCTGAATTTTATAGAGATGTAAGATTGCAAATAGTGGATGCCTCATTGTTACTAACAACTCACATCAACAGTCTGATGAATATGAAGCAGATGATACAAAGGTTCCTTGAGCAGCGTTCCCATAAAACGAGGGATAATCCTGTCTGTCACATACGGTTGTGTAAATCCTAGACTCTCGACTTCCCCCTAGAATTGGATCCAGTTTTTACCATGTTAAATATAAACATATAAATTCTAGTATTCATACAAAGCTTTGACATTATAAATATCCCCAAGAAGGTTATTTATCTTTAACAGATAACGGAAATCTGAAAGTAAAGGGGTTACGAGAACGAAATCAAATAATCATATAAAGGTTTATGTAAGATGCCATTAATTCTACGTCATTATGGAAAATAAATTGCTCAATGAGGGGAATAATTTCTTAAGGTTTACTTCTTTTTTAAGTAGTTGACTTTAATGAAAGGAAGAAACTTCGTTAAGCTTTTATTGCGTCATAAACCAACATTAATTGATGGATATACGAGCTTAAATTAATCCATGCGATGCATGTACATTGTACAGGTCCTTTCCACGGCCCTAAGGCAATGCAGCTCTGTCCCAAACAGTAAGGGGTACTTGCATCTATAATACTAATAATCTCAAGTAATGTGTGTGTCTGTCTGTCTGTAATTTACGAATGGTTAAATCAAAAAACGGTAAGAGATATGGGACTGGTTTTTTTTCGGTATAGTGCCGACAAAACTCTGACGAAGCCAAATGATTAAAGTTTTCACTCTTTTTCCCTCTGTCTCTCTCTCTCTCTCTCTCACACTATCTCTCCCTAATTACAGCTCCCCTAATTACAGCTCTGGTATATAATGAGGTAATTTGGCAGTAGAGCCAGGAGCCGCAAGATTTCTTATTAAGTATTACTATTGGATACGTGTTGGTTATAATGCGGCCGGTTTCGACTGGGCGAGTTCATGCTTTTGTACCGTTTATACTTTTGCAATTCAACTGCGATAGTGATGAAGTCCTGGTCGAAGGTACGGCCCGGGTTACACTAGTCATTTCATAATCTCATAATAAGATACTGTAACCAAGAACAGTGGCAGCTAAATTAATACGCTAGCAGTCAGAAGCAAAAGCTCCGATGAGACCACTGTAAATTAGGAAGTTCAATCGCAAGAAATCACTTTTTGACCGTGTTATTTTCATGCAATTACATTGATGTATGTACTATTTTGAAAAGATTTTCAATAAAAAAAAAAAAAAAAAAGGTGGTTACTGCTAAGAAGTTCGACCCAATTCTGATAACTGAAAAGTGAAGAGATAAAACTATGGCTTAATCAGCCGGTCAAAATACCTCTAGATAAGAGACAAATTCTGGATCATCAAGAAGTTTCTCAAATATGGGGACAACATCCTTGTAGTTATTCGCATAGTACGCGTAAACGTCATAATCTTCAACCTGCAAAACGAGTAATATGATGTTATTGGAGGTGCAACAAATAAATGGATCTACGCATCAGAACAAATCATGGTACGTGCGCGCCAACAAAGTAAGTGAATTAACAATCGCGCGCTCCAAAAAAGTTGGCAAAATTTGTCCCACTACAAATGCCAATATGTCACAAACTCTACTATATTGGAATTACCAGCACGTACCAGAGCTTTCTCGACAAAAACAACTCCAACGTGAAATGAGGAGTCTTGTCTGATCATTTCCTTGGCTTCCTCCAGGTCGTTTTGAAATATTAACTCAAAAAGTAAGATTTCTTTGACGTTTCCAAACAGCAAATCGACCATGTCTTCTGATAGTCCTGAATTAAAACATTTGTGAGACATTAGCTTCCAATAATGCGGTCACTCTAAGGTACCACACATAAGAATGTCTCCGCTTAATCGATTACGTAAACTGCTGAAAATTGACTTACCTGATTCCTTTTTGGCGAAAATTGGCATGATTTTGTTGACAATAATCTGTAAATCCCTTATGTAATTAGCTTGATCTGACATAAATCGTCTGACTGCCTGAAAAGGAAAGGTATGTAGATATAGAGGTTTACAATCCTTGAAATATCTTTCACCCTACGTGTATAACACCAAAGAATCTAAATTTTAGGGGAGGGCAATTCATAAGGAATGGAGTGACATTTGTATCCTTAAATGTTTATTATACGTAAAGTACTAATTTTCTCAAGAAAAGGATAATTCTTTCTGTCTGATTATTAAACCTAGCAGATTGACAAATATAAAATAGGGCGTTGTCTGCCCTGTATTTATTCTACCTCTTCGTAAGTCTGAGCAGGTTCTGTTCTAAAAGCTGGCTTCATCACAGTTCCCCTTCGTTCATCTGCAAACAACTTCCGCAATTCCTGCAACGAATAGTGTCTCCTTATTCGGCAAACTCGGGAACTAATCAAGGATTCTGTTCGTGCTGGCATCCCAAAAACATTTGTAATACAAACCCGGAAAGTAATCAAATTCTTCTCTCGAAAGGAAAAGTCTAGGCCAAACCGGAAAATACAGTAGACCTTTTCTAAAGATCAGGGGAGGGCCAAGGGGATATAAATTATAAATACCTCATGATAGTTTCGTGCAATCTTGATGTATTTGCAGGTAATGACTGGTTTAGTGTTCCCACCACTATTCTTGGACAGTTCCTCCACAAGCGCAGATGCGCGCTTCAGTAACAGTGTAGCGATGTGTTCTAACATGGCTAACATGTAAACGATGAGCTTGTACTCCACACTTCCACCACGGCGGTCCCATTCCTGGGGGTGAAGTTATCATTAGGTTTATTATGTTAATAGTTTAATTATATTATTAGTTTAATTAACATAATTAGCATGATTAGCAAAACTAAGATTTAGTTTGTAGAAAATACACCCTTATATAAACGTATTGATCAGCACATATTGACGTCACGTGATTGGTAACCACTGAAGTTATGATAGGGTTATGAGCGATAAGGTGACACGTGATATGATACCGTGACACGTGATATGATACCGTGACACGTGATACTTGACTGGCAAACCTCGCAATATACAATATGCTAGCAGGTTAAGTAAAGTCCCACAATTGCGATTATTGGAATAATTTGTGACGTTGTTGTTGTTGTTGTTGTTGTTGGTCAGTATTTTGTGACATTTTAGCAAAAGTAACAATATCACTTTCATTGCGAGTCAGGATAAAGATTAAATGAATATTAAAATGTGTCATGCACAAAAATAATGCAAAGGAATAACTAACTTTTTTACAAGAAAGAAATATGGCCTCAACAGGAAATTTCAGTTTTAACCCATCATTAATACGCCTGCTAATAGTGCCCCTTTTCTTGTGTAGTTTGTTGTAGACAGCTTGTCCCTTTAGCTTGCACTCTTTGTATATGTCTTCTGGGTATGCTCTGCGAGTTCAGATTTATTTAACTTAAATAACGTTAATTTACTTTCACGAGGTACACTACTTTATATTCCATATAAAATATCAAAATTCAAAGACATGTGAACACATTAGAAGTATTTAGTTCAATAAAGTTGCTTTGAGAGGGTACAAACATTATTATAAAAAGTCGTAATACCTGGAGACATAATCTTCAACATCTTTAGTGGTAAGTGGGGCGCAGTCAACTAATTCTTGTAAAAGGGTGAAGATGATCTGACCAAACTCATCTAATGCAGCTTCCTCCAATTCAATTGACTTGTTTGTGAGTACGAGTAGCTGTAATTAAAATTTTGTGATATTTCAGATTAGAGACAGTTACCTTTTTTCAATCAAAAGCTTAAAATTAGAGTGAATAGTCATTAATCATAATTTTCGTGGTAATAATTCCATTCTCCCGATATATTATATAACATTGAAATTAATCAAATTTAGAAATGCTTACCTTTTGAATGCCTTCCTTGAGGTGGTTCTTGATCTCACTTTCGATGTCAGTTTCAACTATGCTCTCATACTCGTTGCCAAGTCCCATATTCCGATTTTACACATATTACGGACATGAATAATTCTCAACTGTCTTTGTCATTGTGACATAATTCTGAATTTAATGTTACAGTTAGAGATGGATATTAGCAAGAGTTATATAATCTAATAATTTAACTACAATCATCATCAGTTGCAGTCTGGTGGTGTTGAGTTTCATTCATATTTTCTTAACTTTCATAAATCATGTTGTTGCCTCATTGCAAATATTTTGGTCTTGAGTAAATGTAATTGTAATCATTGATGTAAAATTCATTTGAATTTTGAAATAAACCTAATGTCAAAGAATGTGCATTTTTAACCAGTATGTTGTCATGTACATTGTACAAAGACGCAAGTGAAAAAATAAGTTTGTTATTAGCAAAGAGATGAACAAGCTTTCTATGAGTCGATTGTGAGGGATGTAAATGTAATGAATGGAGACTACACACATTTTTTAAATACAACTACATACCGCAAGCGATCTCCTAACTAGTTTACATATGCATCTCACATTACATGTAGGTAATAAGTCAACTTAAACAATCACACATCTCCCCGATTGAAGTGACTGGAGGGAGGTGTTTGGAAATGATGACGGTTGCTGACAGGGCCGGGGGGAGGGCCGAAGGGGGGGTCTGGTCCTTGCTGAAGTCAGCAAAAATACCTGAATTTTGACAAAAATGTTTATTATTATTATATGATTCAAATCAATTTGATTAACAAAGCTTGGTAAATTTCCTTAATATATATATATATATATATCTGACTCAAACGGTCGTTTCAATTTGAATATATATATATATTTTATTTTTTTATTTTTATTTTATTTAACATGATCTTAGCATATATAGTTTACAATATTGCCATCAGAGACGTGTTATATTCATCACTATTTTAATATTTTTACTGCTTGATTCAGAGAAATCTAGCTTTGTCCGAGAAACTAATCTTTAATAGATTAGATAAGATGTAGATGTACGCAGCCATTCTTTTCGTTTGATTATTACTCAGTATTTTTTAGTTTTGTACCGTTTTGAGTCACATAGTTTTGTACGTCTTCCTAAGACTTGTTTTCCTTTCCTATTTGTGTATATTCCAGTTGCTTTTAGAATAATTTTATCTCAGATAACGATGTTTAATAAAATGATGCAAAGAACTATTTCGAAGATCTAATCAACACCGACTTTTAATGTGTAGGAGTACAGCAACAAAATATATATATATATTATTATATATAACTAGCAGGAACCCGTATAACCCTAAAATGGTGTCAAGACTCAAGAGACTAAAATAATTATTACCTATTTAATTCGCGTTTTTGACACCACTTGGGGGTCCAAATTTTGGGCTCTAAAACTCTTATTCCTTGGCCAATTTTTTATTTTTTCATGCTGATTTGAAAAGCATAAAAGCATTTGACCCAGTCAAAAAAGTTTCAGTTGTATATCTTTTACGGTTTTTGCGGAAAGTCGCGTTAAAGTTGATGCCGTGGTGTCAGTAAAATGGCACAGATATATATATATATATACAGAGGGGACTGAATTTCTAGACCTGTTTATTTACTCGAAAAATTGCAAGCTAGAAACTAGGACGTACTGCAAACCTAGTGATGCCCATAGCTATTTACTCCCACAATCCTGCCACCCTACACACATAGCAGAGAATATTCCATATGGAGTAGCACATCGAGTGTTCAAAAACTGTTCAGAGGAAGAAGAGTATTTGAAATGTAAAATTGAATTTAGTGAATATCTAGAAGATAGGAATTACAATAAAGATCTTATCCATAAATCCTTTGAGAAAGTTGAGTTACTTAAACGGGATGATCTGATTTCAAAAAACCTTACAAGCTCTAATAGTAAGAAGAGTGAAAGATGTTTTCCTTTAGTTTGTGATTTTGACCCTAACTTACCTCCAATTGGTAAAATAGTTAACAAGAATAAATTTATCCTTGGCCTAGACCCCCTTTTAAAGTCTGTGATCCAGCCTAGTAAAGTATTTGTTTCATATCGTGGTAATAAAACTATCAAAGAAACTTTAGTTCCGAGTAAACTTTCAGAAGATCGTAAGTATCATGAAGATAGTAATGTTATAGCTTTAAACTCTAACACTGAAAATGTGGCTCTGCCTACTAGTATAGAAGAGGGGGGATGTTATCATTGTAACTCCAGATGTAAAGCCTGTAGAATGTATATTTGTGAATCAAAAACAGCTCAGAGCTACCACTCGGGGTACACTGTTAACATCATTGGACAACTAGACTGCAACACAGTAGGGGTGTGCTATCTAGTAAGGGATAAAGTCTGCAGACGTGCTTCAGTAGGAAGCACAGTTAACAATTTTAAGACCAGATGGCAGAACCACAAATCACATATTAGGAAAGCGGTTAGGAGTTGTGAAATTTCTTGTCATTTTAACGATAACCAGTTCCATAATCTTACCAAAGAGCCCTTAAAAACGTTTGACAATGAGTTATCCGATCAGATAGAGGTTATTATTTTTGAAAAGCTAGATTTTATAAAATGTTTAACCTTAGAAGATAGAAGTAGGGTTGCTAAAGAAAGAGAATCATTTTGGCAAAACCAGCTTATGACCCTCAGTGATTTTGGAGGACTTAATAAACGTAGTGCTCTTAATGAAATAAAAAATTGACCTTTATATGATATGTTTTAATATTAATCTTTCCACAGACACTTGCATTTTGATGTTTACTTTCACCTCTGCATCTTTTGTTTATATCTTATGATTGAATGAGACTTACTCACAAATTTCCCATCTCAGTATTGATCTATTTTTGTCATGTTTTTAATTTACTTCATAGAACAGTTATTTTAATAAACTTGCTTTCAGAATGAGACATGTAAAGATTACACAATCGATAGCTTAATGTGAATTTCGTGTTTTACTGTTTCACTGAATGTCTCAAATATATATACATCAGTGAATACAGTTACCTGGACTTCCGTGCTGTGAATCTACAATCAGAAAGCAACAGTCAAATCACACTGACTTCTTTAGATTCCGCCAGATCTTCTACCAGTAGAGTGATCCAGAAGTTCATCCTGTCCTTGTCATATCAGTGTTTTGTCTACGTTCATGTTTGTGCACCAGTCTGTAAACTTTGTTAATACACTCTCCACACTCATCGCAACAAAGTCTCCCCCAAAATATGTACCACAGACCTACTAACACTTCCGATAGGTTTATTGCTGCTTTGTCTAATGCTGGAAGGAAAAACATCCGTATACAACAGCAGTACTTCTACCTTATGAAAAGCAAGCAACAATCAACAATACCAAAAGGTATCTCTGAACAGTGTCAATTTCAGTGTAGTGTCAGAGACCCTGTTTTAGAGAAGTTGACCGCCAGTATGATGATATTCACAGCTAGCAGAATCTTGGATATCTTAATCCTCTACTACCACAACTGGTCAAACAGACTAAGAGAGAACTACTACAAACTGGAAAATGAGTTTAAAACTGCTGTGCCAACAAACCATTTTGAGAGAGGTATGGCTACTGTCCAACACAAGATCCGCCAACAGAAACTGGAATGTGAGAAAACACACGATTCTAAGTTAAATAGAGACAAGGTGAATGGAACAGAGGTATACATCAAAAACAGCTATACTTCATTACCAGAACAACCAGAAGTACCCAGGATATCTCTAACCAAAACGAGAACTCGTAGGCGCAAGGAGAAAAAATCAAAAGTCACTAAACCTAGAAAAAGGAAATCTGTCCATAAACACAGGAGGGATGGGATAAAATCAAGACCACTTAACAGAAACAATGTCAGCCAAGCTGCATTAGACAAAACTGTCATTAATCTCTCGTCCAAAACAGTTACAAATGCTCATAAGTTTGTCTTCCACCTTGGAGAATCATTTGCAGTTACTCCTTCTAAAACGAACAGAGATAAACTAGTAGAAGATGTAAACTCCTGGGCAAACTCACTTAGAATGAGTTTCGTCCTCAGTAGAGTTGTAATCCCCACCCAAAATGTAGAAGAACATGAGAAAACCCTTGACCAGAAGGTAAAGCAAATGGAGAAAGTTCTAGGAATAAAAACCTCAAAGAAGAAGAATTTCTCTAACAGTGGTAATCATGCATTAGAACTGTTCATCAGCAATGTCAAGAAACAGATATCTAATCACCCTAGAAAACCAAAGCCAGCTCCTAGGAATGTAGACAAGGAGACTACAAAAGCAATCCAAGAGCTCAAAAGCTGGGATGATGCTGTAATTCGATTATTTGATAAAGGGACTGGGTTCTTTGTGTTAGACAAATCAGACTACATCAATAGAGTAGAAGCTGCTCTAAAAGATCAGAGCACTTTCAAACAAGTATCGGATCAACAACAACAGATCCACACAACCATCATCACCATTAAAGAGTGGGTTCTGAAATACTCAGCAGATGCTGACTGCCCTGGCATGACCCCAAACTTTATGGAATGGGTAACACCTAGTGAAGAGGAAAATGAACCTGGAGTAAACTACATGAACCTGAAAGCTCACAAACCAGAGAAAAACTACCCTGGGAGACTTATCAGCACTGGATGTAACTCTTACATCAAGAACCTCTCAATATTCACAGCAGAAGAACTAAAGAAGGTAACCCTGCCCCACTGCCTCATGGATTCTAATGATCTACTTATGAAGATGAAAGAACTCAATGAGTCAGGAAGATTGACTGGGAAGACCATCTACCACGTTACATTTGATATTGTAAACATGTTCCCCAGCATTTCAAAGGAGATTGGACTACCAGCCTGTAGAACCTTACTAGACCAAAGAAGTACTAAACTTTTCTCCACAGACTGCGTTATGGAAGCTTTGGAGATAACCCTGGATAACAACATCACTGTTTTCAATGGCAACATGTATGTACAGACAAGTGGAACTGCGATGGGTCCAAATAATGCTTGCCAGTATGCAGACTCAGCTCTCAGCCCCTTGGACAGTAAGATCGTGGAGAGCCAAGAAATCACAACCCCTGAGTTCTATGGCAGATACCGTGACGACATATACATCACTTGGACTGAGTCACTGGAGAAGCTAGACCAGTTCCTACTTTGGCTCAATCAATACCATCCAAACCTCAAGTTTACAATGTCGACACCTTCTACAGAGGGGACTGAATTTCTAGACCTGTTTATTTACTCGAAAAATTGCAAGCTAGAAACTAGGACGTACTGCAAACCTAGTGATGCCCATAGCTATTTACTCCCACAATCCTGCCACCCTACACACATAGCAGAGAATATTCCATATGGAGTAGCACATCGAGTGTTCAAAAACTGTTCAGAGGAAGAAGAGTATTTGAAATGTAAAATTGAATTTAGTGAATATCTAGAAGATAGGAATTACAATAAAGATCTTATCCATAAATCCTTTGAGAAAGTTGAGTTACTTAAACGGGATGATCTGATTTCAAAAAACCTTACAAGCTCTAATAGTAAGAAGAGTGAAAGATGTTTTCCTTTAGTTTGTGATTTTGACCCTAACTTACCTCCAATTGGTAAAATAGTTAACAAGAATAAATTTATCCTTGGCCTAGACCCCCTTTTAAAGTCTGTGATCCAGCCTAGTAAAGTATTTGTTTCATATCGTGGTAATAAAACTATCAAAGAAACTTTAGTTCCGAGTAAACTTTCAGAAGATCGTAAGTATCATGAAGATAGTAATGTTATAGCTTTAAACTCTAACACTGAAAATGTGGCTCTGCCTACTAGTATAGAAGAGGGGGGATGTTATCATTGTAACTCCAGATGTAAAGCCTGTAGAATGTATATTTGTGAATCAAAAACAGCTCAGAGCTACCACTCGGGGTACACTGTTAACATCATTGGACAACTAGACTGCAACACAGTAGGGGTGTGCTATCTAGTAAGGGATAAAGTCTGCAGACGTGCTTCAGTAGGAAGCACAGTTAACAATTTTAAGACCAGATGGCAGAACCACAAATCACATATTAGGAAAGCGGTTAGGAGTTGTGAAATTTCTTGTCATTTTAACGATAACCAGTTCCATAATCTTACCAAAGAGCCCTTAAAAACGTTTGACAATGAGTTATCCGATCAGATAGAGGTTATTATTTTTGAAAAGCTAGATTTTATAAAATGTTTAACCTTAGAAGATAGAAGTAGGGTTGCTAAAGAAAGAGAATCATTTTGGCAAAACCAGCTTATGACCCTCAGTGATTTTGGAGGACTTAATAAACGTAGTGCTCTTAATGAAATAAAAAATTGACCTTTATATGATATGTTTTAATATTAATCTTTCCACAGACACTTGCATTTTGATGTTTACTTTCACCTCTGCATCTTTTGTTTATATCTTATGATTGAATGAGACTTACTCACAAATTTCCCATCTCAGTATTGATCTATTTTTGTCATGTTTTTAATTTACTTCATAGAACAGTTATTTTAATAAACTTGCTTTCAGAATGAGACATGTAAAGATTACACAATCGATAGCTTAATGTGAATTTCGTGTTTTACTGTTTCACTGAATGTCTCAAATATATATATATATATCGTCTCGCTTTATATATAGTAAGATTGTGGGTGGCATCGACTGTAGCCGACAGTGCTCAATCGGCAAGCTGTGAGCTAGATACAAATTGAAACGACGGGTTAAGTCAAACAATTGTTTCAATCATGAGACTGACAATATCATGCTTTCATGATTGAAACAATTGTCTGACTTAACCCATCGTTTCAATTTGTATATATTTTATATGGACACGTTCATTCGAGTTTGAGGATATTGGTAAACAAAAATAATAGCGTTTTCGACGATAGTGGCTTTATTTTGGCATTTATAAACCTAGCACATTCAAAAGTTCTGAACATAAGCCACGTGACCCATACTCCCATATGCACTACTCTGAAAGTTCATTACTATTAGCAGCTATTTCGAAAAGACCTAAAATGTCTAATTCCCAACAGTTTCTTCTTTCTAGTAGGAATATTAACACTCCCTTTTCTGAGTCAATCTAAGATCCAAATGGTGGCAACCTTCTGCAGTGGTTCATATTTTCTTGCAGCTGCCCCTGAACCTTGTACCGGAAACCAGCCCAGCTCAATTTTAAAAAGTTGAGAAAATTACTCTGATGGGTAATACCTACCAAGATTAAACATGAATCATTATTAGAATATTTTATGATATCCGAAACCAAAAGTGATGAATGTGGAAAATGGCAATAGGATACTGCTATTCAAAACGGTTTCATTTACGCTGAATAAATTTTACTAGATAAGGGAGCATTCACATCAGCAGCCAAGGGTGGAGGGAGGGGGTTTGGAAATGATGACGGTTGCTGACAGGGAGAGGGCCGAAGGGGGGTATGGGCCTTGCTGGAGTCAACAAAAATACCTGAATTTTGACAAAAATGTTAATGATTCAAATCAATTTGATTAACAAATCCTGGTAAATTTCCTTAATATTAATATTTCGGTGAACTGGACTCTATTGAGCAACTGTTTTCAATACCTCGATCGAGACTTGTATCACGCACACTGACTATAATGATTGATCACTGGTAAATGATTGATCAGAAATGAGTTTAGACATTTTCCAATACCAGATTGGGGACGGGTTCTATAAACAAACAAACAAACAAACAAGGCCTAATTCGAAAATCTTCAAAAATCACTCCAGTTGTAGTCTGATGATTTCCCGTTTATCAAAGCTTTCTTATGTATCGTGTAACCTAGATTTCAGTACCTCAATGATCTTTTGCATCATTCATAATACTGTAAAATCTGGATTGGAATATTATTTATGAGTCGCATAGTTGAAATGTTTTCTTAGGTTAATTTTTATTGATCCCGTTTGATGCGACAAGGAAAAGGCTCTTATCAGGAAATGAATTATTCAACGTTTCAATGTGACAACATAGTATTCATGATCTCAAATTATTTGTTATATAGTAGTGTTGAAAGTATTAAAATACTGTCAGCCTATTGTATATATATAATATATACTGTTACCTAACGACATCCCCCTTTCGGTTATTCCATGTAACTCAGTTCCATGTAAGTTGTATATTGTTCATGCTAGTGTTTTAATACCAATCACCTAGTTTCATTGAATAGTTCACTATATTGGAACCTCACATAATAACCTCAAATTATTTTGTAACACTTATCATTCAGAAATACTGATAGTTGGATAATATCCGGTTGGAAGAGACAAGGACAAATGAAACAGGAAGTTAGGAATGTAGGTAAATTTTCGGCGTCAACGCCCAACTATCAGTATTTCAATCATGAGACTAATAAACAGCAAACTACTCCATCATTTGACATCATTCAGAAGACAGGAAAAGTTTTGAGATATGGCACCAGTCAATGTCATCTCAGCGCTGATGCCGGGTCAATCCATTCAAGATTGGGGAAGACTGCGAGCAACGGCACTATTTGCATCAGACAAACAGAAGATTGACTCTCTTCCCGTCTACGTATGCAGAAATGAAGGAGAAGTGGAGATTGCATTACTGGTTATTGAACAAAATACTAATGATGATCTAGAGCGCTCAAAGGTTGAGTGAGCTTGTCGATGGTAAACTATCACGGGTTCTAGGGGTTCAAAAGTTCTTTGAGTGTTCTGTCACTGGGGAGCTGAGAGCTCAAGACTAGATTCTTCATATTAAAGAAATTAAGGAAAGACACAAAATTCTCAAATGATGTTGTACTGCTGAGATTCTTAGGTCTCTTACCCTCAGGAGTTAAGTTTTATGAAGATAAAAGCGGCAATGACAGATGTGGAATTACTGGAAATGTTTGCGTTGCTGCAGCCACAGCTAGACAAAGCCCAGAACCATACAAAGCAGGAGACGCAGATTAACATAAAGCAAGAGAAAGACAATGGGTTTGTCTTTGCAGCAGACTCTGAAGAGAATCAGAGACTCATAGACCACACCGTATAGTTAGATGCCTTGAAAGGAGAATTGGACTCCATTAAGCATTACCTTCTAGACCAGCATGAGGAGAACTGGAAAGAGGAAAGAAAAAGTGATGAAACTGAGAAGCTTGGTCACAGTACTCATGAATGTGAGGAGAAGAAGTCAGGAGGATACTCGAGAGGATACTTAGAGGGACACCCAGGGGAAGTCAAGAGGAGACAGACAACGTCCGCAGCAGAAAGACAATAGGAGAAGAGCAAACTTATGACTAGACAGACAGATTCAGTGTGAACTACAGACTGTCATACACGTTTGCCTTCAGAACGGCTTCCCACCCCTTTGCATCACCACCATCATGGACGAAGTTCACCACAAATTCACCAACCCTCCCCGACATCAATCCTTAGCATCATTCAACCAACAGACCAGAGATCACGCACTCAGCGTTTCCCTTCCTTTCCATCCCTCACTCTCCAAACCTATCTCCAAGATACTCGGACAACACGACATCAAAGTGACCCACTCATCAGCTACTACTCTCCGCAACCTTCTCACCAAGACGAAGACCACACCCCCCACTCAACTCACTCCTAACACCATCTACGAGATATCCTGCTCACAATGTCCCTCCAAGTATACCGGACAGACCTACAGATCCCTGATCCACCGCATAAATAAAGAACACGAACGATGTTACAGACTCAACAATGCCTTCGATGAAACCACAGACAGGATCAAATCCGCCCCCGCCCATCATGCCCTGACCACTGGACATTCCATCTCCTGGAACAACATAGAAGTCCTCAAATCCCTCACCACACGATCTCAACTTGACCTGACAGAACACGCCGCTATTCAGATAAGACAACCCTCCATGAACAGAACTAATCGTGCCCTCAAATGTAGCTCACTATGGGACCCCATCCTTCCCAAGATTGCTTTATCTCTAAAGCCCAGGCCATCTGGCATTTCCTTTTCATCGACCTCAGAAGCCTTGTTTTTTAATTTGAATGTTATTGTATTGTAAACTTAAAACATTTTTCCACCCTCTCCACTCCACCCTTGCACGTCACACACCACTCATCATTGACACCACTACATCATAATATAATCACCCCTTCACAACATCATCCCCATCTGAAGACGATTTATACATGTATTTTGAAAGCTCCTGCTGAAAACAAACTTTTCGTATCACTTGTATGTTTTAAATAATCCCCCTCCAAGTGTACAATGGTAAAATACTTGCAGCAAGAATACTACTTGATAGTTGAGCGAACACATCCCTCATCAGTGCTGAATTGATTCCTGAACTAGAAGCTTAAATTAAAGAAAAGTTCAGTCAAAATGATGGAATTTGGGTCATGGAAAGCTAATATTTGAAAATGTCCTACCGGTGGGACATTTTCGTTATTTTCCTTTCATCAAAGTTTTCTCCTGGTATTCAGTTTCCTAAACCTAGATCACTGGTAAAAAATTCAGTCAAAACTGTGAAATTTTGGTCAAGGAAACGGCAGAAAAGCCTAATTTGAAAATCTTCAAAAATCAGTCCAGTTCTAGTCTGATGATTTCCTGTTTATCAAAGCTTTCTTGTGTAATCTAGCTTTAAGTACCTCAATGGTGTCTTTTGGCATTCATAGTGAACTCACTAACTGGTTATTGAAGAAAAATTCAGTCAAAATGGTGAAATTTGGGCTGTGGAAAGGTGATATTTGAAAATGTCCAAACCGTAGGACATTTTCGTTAGTTTCCTTTCATCAAAGTTTTCTCCTGATATTCAGTTTCCAATACCTAGATCGTAACTCAGTGACTGACCTTAATGATTGATCACCTTAATGATTGATCACTTTGATAAGTTTAAGACTTGTGCACGTACTAGGCCTATAGGACACCAGAATCTTGACCAAAAATTTTTCATAAAAGAGCACACCAAACCGATATTTAAGCATAATAATATTCTAGCTATACAAAATCTCTATACATACCACAGTTACCTCGAGCTCTACAAGATAATGAAATTCCGTGCTCCAATATCCTTACATGAGGGTTACACATGTTCCTCGAGGAAACCCTGCCTTCTAATCTGTCAGGCAGACCCACCTGACAATCACAACACTAGATCAACCAAAATTTTTAACATTTTAACCCCAAAATTCAGAATGACTGACTTTACTACTAGTGTAATGTGCTTGCGAGGTAAGCTAAAACGTGCGCTATTAACGAATCAACATAATCACGCCCTGCTTGATTGGACTGTCAAAGATTTTGACTGCGCAAATCTTATTTCCCAAACATTATAACTGGCTGGTCACACACATCTCAATTAAAATTACCCTAGGCTACTGTTTTCCAAGTCTTGTCCTGTGAGTAAAGTATGTGTGAGAAAGTTTTAATAAAATTATTGTATATTTACTTTTGAATTTTTAAAATCTAATTTGAGAATGAAGTTCAAAGAAATTTTTAATTAGCACTGTATACTGATATCTGGATATTATCCGGTTGGAAGAGACAAGGACAAGTGAAACAAGGAAGTTAGGAGTAAGGGCAAATTTTCGGCGTCAACGCCATCTTCAGGCTCAAATTATTTGTTATATAGTAGTGTTGAAAGTATTAAAAGTTTTAATACTTTCAACACTACTATATAACAAATAATTTGAGCCTGAAGATGGCGTTGACGCCGAAAATTTGCCCTTACTCCTAACTTCCTTGTTTCACTTGTCCTTGTCTCTTCCAACCGGATAATATCCAGATATCAGTATTTCAATCATGAGACTAATAAACAGCGAACTACTCCGTTATTTGATAGCACTGTATAGTTTAAGATATTTATAGCTTATTATAACCATTGATACAAAGGCCATAATCTTTCGCCAGCTCTCCAATATCCAACTTTAAGCTGCATTTTATATCCTTGAACTACACAATATAAACTAAAGAATGTTTTAGTGTAGACTTTTTGTCACAACAAGACTGCAACCTATAATAACAACTATAAACAGAACCCCTAATGTCTGCTTACAATTTTTCTTCTTGTCCTAATCTGAGCCTTGTCTCTATAAACTTAACTGAACTAGCGTTTCGGTATGTGCAAAAGCTTCCAGGCACGCGCATTCCTTGCCCCGTTAGTTACCTGTCCTTCCAAAACCAAACTAGCAGTCAAGGACAAAAAGTCATACACCAAATGGGCATTATATTTTATGAATTGTTTTACATCTTTTTATTCTGTAAAAATGTGCTAAAATTAAATTTCTTGTTTCATTGAAAATTTCTTGTTTCATTGACTGGTTAAAAATTTTGGTCAAGGTAACAGCAGAAAAGCCTAATTCGAAAATCTTCAAAAAACACTCTAGCTTTCAGTACCTCAATGGTGTCTTGTGACATTTACAGTGAACTTACTTGTTTGTCATTGAAGGACTGGGGAACTTAACTGGTCTAGGGACTGGGTCAGGCCACTTGGATAGGCGAAGGTTTGTAGAAGCTCTGACCAAGTAATTTATTGGAAAATAAGAGTGCTTATCTACGGAGTACAGGTACAGACATGATTTTAGGGTTGTGTCAATAAATTCAAACGTTATTCTCGAAAGCACAAGTATAAACATACAATGGTACAGAACAAAAAGAAACAAAGTAAACACTGATCGTAATAAATTGACGTCCCATGAAGTGAGCTGTCTTTGATTGCTTGTAGGAAGTCGATTAGGTGCTGTAGACAAAATACAGGACAATATGTCAAATAGTGAACTATTAAAATCAGGTGCTTTTAAACATGTTGTATATGCTATTCTACGACCTTTGTTCTATCTTGATAAATTTGTGATTGTATCTCGATTTTAAGTAGGGTAATATAATAAATTCACAATATTAATTTGAGAAATGGGACTGGTTTTAAACAATTATGAGTATGTTTACAAAATGTTCTACTGAACGAATAAAAAGTTGATAATGCTATAAAATATAAATGAAACATTGTGCAGAACAATATTCATTATTTTCAAATACATCATTCTCAAACACCAAAAAGCTTGTGAACGTGGTTCGACCAAATTTGTACGGTTAATCATTTAAAATCACTTTCAGGTCACCTTAGCAAAAACTGTTCATGTTATTGTGCTTTTTAACGGGTGATACTCGTATAATATCTGTTCCATATATCGACGAGTCCAACTCGGCGCGCGTCCTGGTAGGTTGTAAACCTACAATGTGCTTTTCACAGAGAAAAAAGCGACTGTAGCATTTGGAGTTTTGTATTCTCTTTACTTAGTAAAATATTCTAAGGGATTTTTATAAATTCATAAATCTATATTAATTTTAAGACATTGAAAAAGATTTGATCTCGATTCAAAATTGAAAGAAGTTACTGCAATGTGTGCAATTTATGGAATGTGCTTTCAGTGGAGACATAAACTGCTGGTGGTCTGAATAATGAATGAATTTAAAGTGGTCTCAAGTAGTTTCAGGTGTATTGCCCAGTGCATTGTTACCAGTTACGATCAAATTTTGTTTTGACAAACATTATGATGTTGTTTGAAATGTTAACTATTTTGTCCACGTTTTTGTTGTTTGTGTTTATAGTATTAATAAAACATTTAGGATTGTTATAACACTTTTAAACAATCTCTTGTTTCTCTAAAATTTGTTTCTCTAATCAATTATGTCATCAATATTATGTTTTATGTGTCATTTATCACGATCAAAATTACAAAAACTGAAAAATTTCATTAGTATTTAGTGTATAACTTATTTTCGCTTATTATATTGTCTTACTTGTATTAAATCAACATAAAAATATAATAACAATTAATGTTTTTGCACTGCAATGTCTGACGCACGCAAAAATTTACAATCACGGGTGTTGATTGACGATGTCAATCCGTCGAGATCGTTGCTCTGCGAAGCAGAGCAGCGATCGTAGAGTGAATAAATGAAGTTTTATAAAAGATATCAGTATATATACAAATATTTGCAGTTTGATTTGAAATTACATTTAAAATAGAACGCGCGCAAAAATGCCAAATTTTAGATATTAAACACTTTTTTAATTTTTAAATCCTCAATCCCAGGGAAAACTAAAATAATTGTTACATTATAATTATATTTTTTAAATTCTTATGTATATTAAATTTTGACAGCAAAGTTAATTTAGTTACAAATTTGCAAATGTTTTTTATTTGGTCTAATTGTTGATTCACGATGTCAATCCTTCGCAGCTCGGTGAGGCACAGTGGTGCATTTCGCCGATCTACCGAAGTGGTTGCGAGAAGAATTATTTGATGCGCGGCGCGACCCAGTAGTGCATCGCGCTACAAGTCTAATTGTAATTTTGGACAAAAAATAGTATTTTTGATTTTAATATTTTACTCAGTTTAATCATCTCAGAGCCACTTTTAATCATAACCACTTCACTTGCACTGATTAAAGCACGTTAATTGAAGGAAAGAGTTTTCCAATTCTTTAGAGTATCAAGTAGAAAAATCGGAAAAATGTTGACCATTGTTAATGATCTGGCCCGGCGCGCGCTACTTCGTAGCACTTGCCATCGGGCCAGTAACATTTCGAGAAGAAAGCGGCGCGCGCTACTTCGAAGAAATTTAGACGAGTAACATCCGTCAAGGAAAAATGTAAATAGCTATAATATAATGTACAAAAACGAATCATGGAAATGCGCGGCGCAACGAGGAGAATTTTTTTTAAATTATTGATTATGATCACGAAATAATTATTTAGGAAATTGTCTAAAATTCAAAGCTAACGCATAATTGTTTTGTAATATCCATTAAAAATAATTTTCTGAAGTTTTCGACATCAGTTTTTGGACTCAACAGGTCACCCTGATCCTACTTTTTGCTGTCTACAGCATACAAATGTGAGACATCTGATGTCCTTGATTTTGAATCTCTCAATGGAATTTTCAGGGAACATTGATCAATAATTTATTCTATGTTACATATGTTATATTAGTGGCAAATAAAATTAAGTAAAATGAACCTTATTGTTAACAAAAGTGTTGGGAAGAAGGTACCGTTTGGTAACCAGTTACGGAAGTTACATGAATGCTTACTTAATTACAGTCGATAATTCTAATTTAGTTGGAGACATGTAAGTTTATTACCACTGCGAACTTTCGTGGAAACTAGCCTGTCATGGTAGACGGCCTGGAGAATTTAAGCCCAATAACGTTCATTAAATTAGAGTATGTTCTAATTTCTGTAGATGTACTGAAGGGGTACCCTGGGAAAAGTTTTGACCTTTTGGCAGAACCCCTCTTAATAGAACCTTCGTTCTGATTATTCAGCCGATTTGACGGCCCGGAGGAATGTAAGGCACTCTATGAAGTTCATTTTATTGTTCCATGCCATAAGCTAATTTATACTAATCTAATCTTAATCTACTTAATCTTACTCGGGAATATTATAGCGGGTTAATTTATGACTGGGAAAATTAATGACCGGGAAAAATATGGCGGAACTTTCCAAAACCTACCACTTTATCACGGTCATAATATTCCCGAGAAAGGTATTCACTAATTAAGGGAAATTAGTGGTACAAAGTATATTGTTTGCACTTTTCCTGGTGTTCACTACCTAGCCTCTCCCATTCGAGTTTGGCTTTAATGCCCTACACAATCTTCGGCATAACTTGACTGTTTTATTGAACCGGGCAGACATCCCAACACCAGTGTGTTGGGACATAGTGTTGGTCTGCTTCAGGATGTGTTAGATCCCAGAAAAACCGCCATCCCTTCTACTGATTTGGCTCAGCAGCAGCATAGATAGATAAAAACCCTTGACGACATAAGATTTTGGTGATGACTTGACATACTTAGGATCATACCTGCTGAGTCAAGGACTTCACTGGGTCTATGTTTACCCATGGTCGACCCATCTGAATGATCAGAAGGGGCTGCCAAAAAACATTATCTTGTAAGGGTACCCTTCAGTACACCCTAAGATGGATGTCAACAGGAATCACTTAGTGTTTGTTTACAGAATGACGCCAGCTCCTAAAGCAGGAAAAATTTCATGAAAATAATTCCACAGTAGAAGAATCTAGGCCGTATTGCATTCAACGAAACAATCAGTTTTCAATTGCACCTTCTCTGTATATTTAGAACTGATGGTAGTCTAATTATCGTACTAAATTGAAAGTCTAGCCCATTTATGATTTTCAGTATGATGCACAATAGAATTATTGATCATTGTGCTCATCAAGCTTTTATCAGTTCCAATACTAACAAAATTTCAGGAAGCTATTTTATGTTATTGACTAGCACCAGTCACATTATCTGAGCCACAATGAACTATCAGTGGAAAACGGTAAATATGTTGTTCCATTCAATTTCTTCTGTCATTTATTGTGTCATTTCATTTCTTTTCCCATTATTGCCACTGTTTCAATGAAACAAGAAATTTCAATGAGACAAGACATTTCAATGAATCAAAAATTTAATTATGACCTATTTACCATTTACGTTACCATATATTTTCAGGTTAGCTTTTGGGCTACTGTCACCCTTGACAGTGCATTGACAGAAAATGGCTGAAAAACATGGCTGTTATGCAATAAAAAACACTCCACATTATCCGAATAAAGTGAGGTGATGAAAGAAGCCTTGTACAAGAAAGAACGCTTTAAATCAGACATACTAGTAAGTTAATTTTTGTCATTTGCTTTTGATGTACCTTATTTAAATTGTATTTGAATCAATCTATTGACCTGTCATTACATGATAGGTATATCTTATATCAATTGCATGATTTAATTCTCATATTCCCTCATATCTCCCAGGATTAGGTGTGTAGGAAATAAAACCTAAAGTAGGAGCCGTAGATAGATAGATAGCGTATAGTAGACGACAAGTAGCTAGTGTCTTCAGTTGAGGGTGGTAGTAATGTAAGATCTGTAGTGTTTATTAGGCTAGCAATATCCTAGCTAGAACTCGACTTCAACCTATTGGTCAGAACTATTTTAACTTTGTTAATGATAAATTATGAAATGTATTTATGATCAAAATACAACTTTTGTACCAGCCAAAAACTTACTTCATATATCATGAAAATGTTAATGCTTTATTAGATATTTCGACTTAAGGTCTTCTTAATACACCTAATTACTGAAACAGAATTATGTGCTTTACAGTTTTATCAGGAAGTGTACTAAGCTAGGGTAGCTAGCATAATCATAAATGTGTTTATAAAATCACGTTTTATTTAGTTTACAGATATTATTAACATGGTTTAGAATACGTTTTATTGTGTAGGTGTTTGTAATGTTTTAAATTGTTTGGACAACAGTGGTCCAACTCTGCTATGGCGATTATTATGTCATTCAACATGTTTTATTAAAGAGTAACGAATAAAATAATTGTTAAAATTATTAAACCATTTGCATTGCTTATTAAACTATTCAAGTAGTCAAATCACTCTGTGTTTCTGTCTTTGAATATTGTATCAGCTGTTGCTTTCTTAACACCCGCCACTTCTTTAGCAGTTATACCAGAAAGTCAAGCCATGGGTCGAGGAAACGTAAGTTTTATTTGGTTTTTTGTTGGTAACTTAAAATTGTACTTTATTACTCGGTTAAGTTGTTTTAACTTTGCTTTTCAGTATCCTGTGAACATATAGATGTATCTTTTTATAGATTTTTCAAGAGATCATGATGCATTCAGCTTCTGGTACATTTTTTATTCACCACTTCTTACCATTCCAGGAGACCAAAGAGGAAACCCTGAAGAAGCTGTTCGTTGGTGGTTTGTCACGTGACACTACTGACGATCAGTTCCGAGACTACTTCGCTCTGTTTGGAACTGTAACAGATCACATCGTCATCAAGGATGGTGATGGTATCTCAAAGTAGGTGTTTTACAAGTTGATAATATTCTGGCGAAAATGTATGGTAGATGGTCTTAAATAACCATCGCTTTAGAATCTGATTTAAATTTAAAGAACATTAATTGGATGCCATGACCGTTTCTCAAGTTGTCACTCCAACTGACATACCATTCTCACAGAGGGTTCGGATTTGTTACATTTGACTGTGAAGATGGTGCAGAAAACGCTATCCGAAGTAAATCAGATGGTCATGCTATCAACGGCAAGACCGTCGAGGTGAAGAGGGCTATTCCTCGTGATTCTGAGCCAGACCAACGGGAAAAGAACAATAAGATCTTTCTGGGAGGTTTGAATAGAAGCACATCTGAAGGTAAGATCAAATCGTACTTCGAGGACAACTTCGACTGTGTGGTGGAATCGGTTGATCTGATTTACGAGAAACGGGACATGCTCCAGCCTGGTCAGGAACCCAAACCAAGGTTTGTTGCACTCACTTTATACACTTTATCATGTGATAACTGGGATATTCCTTTATTAAACGGTTTATTGTTTAGGGCGCAAATTACAACGTATCGTTATTTCAACACCCCTAGGCCAAGTGTTACCTAGGTGTTTACACACGAACTTTGTCAAATGTCAATCATGAAGAATCCTTCAAGTTAATCGATTCTTTAAAATTCTTCTTTTTTGAACTCTGCTTCAGCATTATATGATACCATTTCAGGGGATTTGCGTTTGTCACTATTAACGATTACGACAAAGTAGACCATCTGTGTGTCATCAGAAAACACGAGATTGACGGTAAGGAGGTTGAAGTGAAGAAAGCTGTGTCCAAACAAGGCGGTGGTGGCGGAGCCAGACGTGGTGGCGGTGGACGAGATGGCGGTGGTGGACGAGGTGGCGGTTACAACCAAGGTGGCGGCTACAACCAAGGCGGCGGTTACCAAGGCGGTGGTGGATACCAAGGCGGCGGTGGCTACCAAGGTGGTGGTGGTGGTGGTGGTGGTGGGTACCAACAAGGAGGCGGCTACCAAGGCGGTGGTGGATACAATCAGGGAGGCGGCTACGGCCAACAACAACAGGGTGGTTATGGCGGCGGATACGGTGACAACAGCGGCTACAGCCAGGGAGGTGCAGGTGGCTACGATCAGAGTGCCGGCTACGGTCAGCAGCAGGGTAGCTATGGAAGCGGCTATCAGAACAGCAATTACAGTGGACCAGACAAGAGTGCTCGAGGTGGTGCTAAGCCAAGTGGTAGGGGTGGTTACAAACCATACTAGACACTAAATTCCTCTTTATTCGTGCTGTACAGACCATTTTCCAAAAGATTAAAACCTGTATTTTTTACTTTTAACCAAACTTTTCCATATCTGATTGACTAATCTAAATCGTGGCTTGATTATTGAGGACTGTCTGCTCAAAGACTTCTGTTGCCGAAAGACTATTTATTGTCTATTTATTTTTATTGTAAAATATTGAAAACTTGATTTGAATAACTTTTCATCCTTGATTATTCTTCGTTTATTAATTCCGATCGTTGCAAAAATTGGCCATTTTTAGATCTTTAAATGTTTTAGTTTAAATAAACTTGCGATCGTATTCGTAAATCTCAATTTTCACAATATTTCTCAATTTGAAGATGAGCTTAATAACGTTTAAATACCATTTAGATCGAAAAGGCATGGTCTAAAGGCACATGTTCAATCGTCACCACACCTCTTCAACTCTCCTGAGTCTTCTTGAACAAATGAGAAATCTTTCATCAAGCTCTCAGCTACTTTGTGATGTTACCTGAAAGAACTTGAACGTAATTAACTGCAAACTGAACCGACAGAATGAACGACTTAAGTGGAAAATAGTGAGTACTTTACCATTTGATTTGTTATACCATTTTATTTGTTATATTTGTTCAAAATGTATCTATATTTATCACAGCTGCTGATTACTACAATTTTTATGTTTTCAGGTACGATGATTTGGACTAATGTCTCCTTGATGGGATGACTTAAGATAGCTGACAAGACATGTTATATAGTGAATTGATTCAACTACAACTGTCAATCCAAACCGTGTACAGAAAAGATCCATTTAAATCCGACACGCCTGTAAGTTTTTTTCTTCATTTATTTGATTTATTTCGCTAAAAATACATTCGAATTCTCATATTGCTCCTCTATTACATGACTGGTATATCCTACAACGGTGCTGCCACTAATCGTTAAGACACCTGATCTGTCACGTGGTGTAAATGTGCTTATAATAAATCTGCAAAACTAAAAGCACGCTTACGCTACTTACTGCCGTGACGGCTGACAGTCCTAACGATGAGTTGCATCACCAGACAGTTATCCCAATTGCATGATTTAATTCTGATATTCCCTCATATCTCCCAGGATAAGGTGTGTAGGAAATAAAACCTAAAAGTAGGAGTAGCTGTAGATAGCTAGATATATAGCGTAGAGCTGTAGCTAGGTATTGCTAGTGTGTCTGCCAGGGTGGTAGTAATGTAATATCTGTAGTGTGAGCTTGTGTTAGGGTTGTAATATCCTAGCTATATCTTCAACCTTATTGGTCAGAACTCTTTTACTTTGTTAATGATATTTTATTAGTTTTTTAAATGATTTAAAATCATACGTTTTGTACTAAGAAAAAAATATTCTGACTTTAACCTCTATCGACATTATGAAAACAGTAAATCATTTTTTATGTTAAGACTTACGGTGTTCTTGATTATAATGAACACAGTGATAACAGTCACTAGTTATTTTATAATTAAGTATGTAGCATAATTAATAAGATCGTAAGTTTAAACTGCATAAAATCACGTTTTCTTTACTTTTAAGTTATTACTAATACTGAATACTGATGGATAGAATACGTTTTTGTTATGTAGCTATTTAAAATGTATCAAATTGTTTTCACAACGGCGAACCATCTATTTTAAGAATTTCGCGTTGTTCAACATGTTTTATTACAAATAAGAATTACCAGAATTATCAGATCATTCAAATTCATCCATTCAAATTCATTCATTTAAAACCGTTGCTTAAATTAAACTATTCAAGTAATAACCCGACTCTGTGTTTTTGTCTTTCAACATCAGTTATTGTTATCTTGTTAACACCAGCTACTTCTTTAGCAGTTATACCAGCAAGTAGTAGAGTCATGGGTCGAGGAAACGTAAGTTTTATTTGGTTTACCTTTTTTTGTTCCATGAATATTGAACTATAGACTCGGTAAAATTTATCGAGATTTGGATTTCAGTATCCTGAAAACAATGTAAATCATGTATTGAGACAAAAAACACAAATGTTTCTGTTGGATTTAATCATGAAATCCCAATCCACATTTTTCATTCAAACGGAAAGTATTTACCTTTCTATTCCAGGAGACCAAAGAGGAAACCCTGAAGAAGCTGTTCGTTGGTGGTTTGTCACGTGACACTACTGACGATGAGTTCCGAGACTACTTCGCTCTGTTTGGAACTGTAACTGATCACATCGTCATCAAGGATGGTGATGGTATCTCAAAGTAAGTCTTTGGCTCCAAACCTATTTCACAATGCTAAACCAAGATCAAAAATAGTATAACAAAAATGTATGGGTCCGGACCGTTTATGAGAGAGAATATTTTCTACATTTAATGGAATGAATTCTCGAATTAACAAACTTCTCTCACAGAGGGTTCGGATTTGTTACATTTGACTCTGAAGATAGTGCAGAAAACGCTATCCGAAGTAAATCAGATGGTCATGCTATCAACGGCAAGACCGTCGAGGTAAAGAGGGCTATTCCTCGTGATGCTGAGCCAGACCAACGGGAGAAGAACACTAAGATCTTTCTGGGAGGTTTGAATAGAAGCACAACTGAAGCTACGATCAAATCGTACTTCCAGGACAACTTCGACTGTGTGGTGGATGCGGTTGATCTGATTTACGAGAAACGGGACATGCTCCAGCCTGGTCAGGAACCCAAACCAAGGTTTGTTGCACGACATAACTCATAGTGTTAACTGAGCTGATCCATTATTATTTCAAACGATCATCATTATCATCAGGCCAGGTTTTTTAACTATGTTTCTTTGGTAAAGGTTTTACTGGTATGGTGTAATATAAATAGATTTACCATTTCAGGGGATTTGCGTTTGTCACTATCAACGACTACGACAAAGTAGACCATCTGTGTGTCATCAGAAAACACGAGATTGACGGTAAGGAGGTTGAAGTGAAGAAAGCTGTGTCCAAACAAGGCGGTGGTGGCGGAGCCAGACGTGGTGGCGGTGGACGAGATGGCGGTGGTGGACGAGGTGGCGGTTACAACCAAGGTGGCGGCTACAACGAAGGCGGCGGTTACCAAGGCGGTGGTGGATACCAAGGCGGCGGTGGCTACCAAGGCGGCGGTGGATACCAAGGTGGTGGTGGTGGTGGATACCAACAAGGAGGTGGTTACCAAGGCGGTGGTGGATACAATCAGGGAGGCGGCTACGGCCAACAACAACAGGGTGGTTATGGCGCTGGATACGGTGACAACAGCGGCTACAGCCAGGGAGGTGCAGGTGGCTACGATCAGAGTGCCGGCTACGGTCAGCAGCAGGGTAGCTACGGAAGCGGCTATCAGAACAGCAATTACAGTGGACCAGACAAGAGTGCTCGAGGTGGTGCTAAGCCGAGTGGTAGGGGTGGTTACAAACCATACTAGACACTAAATTCCTCTTTATTCGTGCAGTCAAAACTCAGAACATTTTCCAAAACATCATAAAACCGTCTTTTTAAACTTTTAATCCAACTTTTCAACCTTTGATTGACTTATCTATTATAAATCGTCAAATTCCTGGATCGAATTCCTGGCTCGATTATTGAAGACAGTCTGCTCGAAGTCTTTTGTTGTTGTTGAAAAACATTTATTGTTTATTTATTTTTATTGTAAAGTAATGGAAAATCAAATTTGATTTGAATATTCTTCATTATAATCCTAGATTGTTTATTTGAGTACAATATTTCGCATAAGATTTCCAATCTTTGCCGAATGAGCCAGACTTTCCAGTGCTTAACTATTCAAGCTACATTTAAAATACGGCCAATAACATACTCAGTCCCCCCCCCCCCCCCGCCCCCCCCCCCACCCCCGCTCAAGCAGTAACATAGTAACATTCTTCCAAGATTTATAAATTTTGCAAAGATCTTAACCTTAACCATTTAGATGTAAAATGCATGATTTAAAGGTACCTAGTAACAACAGCTGTACAACTCAAAGTAAACTCGATGATTGGAATTGGGAAATGTTCAGGGCTCTTGATAACCCGCTTAAACAAGAAAAGCAGCTACGGTAGAGAGTGACGATAGCTATGGTTGAAATAGTCACAAGCTATGGTTGAAATAGTGCACAAGCCCGCTGAATAGAAATGCAATACAGCAGTTATGTTTGTTCTCGAAAGTTCCTACCTCTAAGATGCGTCTGTCCAGCTGAAGGTATGTGATTTTAAATTCAAATAAAATAATCTAATAACTATTATTGTCAGCATCTTTTTAATAAATTATTAAGATTCTAACACAAACCACTCAATGAATGCTAACACATTTGCTTTACAGGCTACACTTAGTTATTCTAAGAACTATAGGATAGATAGACTAAGGTTCTACTTCCTAGCTGTAGATAAGATAAACCCCCTCCTAGTGAGTTAGAACGTTAGGAAACTACAGTCAGAAACACGCTCTAAGCTCGTAGCTTAGGAAAGATTGTTATTCAGCGGATACAGGAATGTTGCAGCATTGGTTTAACTCGTTAGACTTAAGGGTAAACTATGTGAAAGGGACCCATTTACCTCACATTATACTGAATAGATATATTAGATATCCACAGTTATTTAGGGAATTATATTTTAAATTTACAGAAGCCCGTTGTCTTTGTTTATAGCAGTCTGAATGTTTAGGGACATCTATTTTTTCAAGTACAGAATTTACGAATTTGTTCGGTTAGCTTTTTAGACTTTAATAAGATGAATTAGAAATAGTTATTCAATATTATACGCTTATTTAAGACAGTGAATTACGCTATGTTGTTTATTTTGACATCCAATAATATCGGAGACCCCAAAATTGATAAATAACAGTATACATTTCATTTGAAATACGTACTAAGTAGCTATACGGTAAAGTCTCTAAAGGAATTTGTTCATTGTATAAATAATAATTTACTATGAAATCTACATTATCATCTACAATATTTTAATAAGAGTTTGGTTTTAAAATTGGATTAAATGATAATATATAATAAGTAATAATAACCCTAATAAAGTAACATAATAAGTTCACTTTTTAGCAGTAAACCTCCCAATAAAGACATCTAATAACTATGGGCCGTGACAATGTAAGTCTGAGAATTACTACAGTGCATTAAATTGGTATCCTGTACAATCATTCAAGTGTATCATTTATCGTCAAGTTACTAGTATTTCCAAATATTAGTTTTATAATTATTTTTTAAATTCCTGGCCTAAACTAATCCATAGCACAAATAACCAAACATTCCTCAGGCTGAATCTAAAGAGGAAACTCTCAGGAAGCTGTTTGTAGGCGGTCTGCCTCGCAGTACTACGGACGATGATTTCAAACAATATTTTTCCCAATTCGGAAATGTCGTCGACTCTATCGTCATCAAGGATAACAATGGCAATTCAAAGTATGTACGGTCGCGGTATTCCACAAATTGCTTAACTGTCACATTTTTGTAGGAAATGAAATACTTTTAAGTTTTAACACTCCCTTACCTCGTTCTAATACATCCAATAATAGTCAGTTGTGTTATACAGAATATAATCCACTCCACCGATTTATAAAATTTTGATTCCTCCAGGGGATTTGGTTTTGTGACCTTTGCCACTGACCAAGAAGCTGAAGAAGCTATCCAAGCCAAGAGTCAAGGTCACACAGTCAATGGCAAATCAGTGGAAGTGAAGAGAGCAATTCCTCGTGATGCGGACCCAGACCAGAGAGAGAAGAACACCAAGATGTTTGTTGGAGGTCTGAGTCTCAATTCAACGGAAGCTTCCGTCCGGGATTTCTTCGAGAAAGAGTTTACATGTCAAGTGGAGAGTGTTGATTTGATTTACCAGAAGAAGGACACTTTGGAACCTGGCCAGGAGCCAAGACCGAGGTAACGTGATTTCTATTTTCACTGAGATGATCATAAATATGCCTGAAAGTTTATTTAAGTGGACTGCACAAGGAAGTATTGTCTTAAAACAGTGCTTTTTTTTTTCTGTGTGCAGAACCGAGTTAGATCTCAGCTTTACATCGTTTTTTACCCTTTTTAGCTGAAATCAGCTCTTTCATCCCCTTTTGGTTAAAACAATGTGCGTGCATAGCATGTTATATTAATATAAAATCCATTCAGGGGTTTCGGGTTTGTGACCATCAACGATTTTGACGTAGTTGATCGTATCTGTGTGATCCGAAGCCACAACATCGACGGTAAAGATGTAGAGGTGAAGAAAGCTGCACCAAAAGGTAAAGGCGGTAACATGGGTGGGGGTGGCCGAGGTGGTGGTAGGAACCAGGATGGTGGATACAACGGTGGGGGATATAATCAAGGTAATTCTATTTGCTATGAAGTCTTGGAATGCTGATAGCCACCTTTGGAATTGTGATTTTGTTATTCTTACGTTTGAGCTCCTTGTCTCTTCTTTATAACTTTAACATCGTATTTATTAGGAGGCTACAACCAAGGCGGTGGCTACAATCAAGGCGGCGGATATAACCAAGGTGGCTACAATCAAGGCGGCGGATATAACCAAGGTGGCTACAACCAAGGCGGCGGCTACAACCAAGGTGGCGGATATAACCAAGGAGGTGGCTACAACCAAGGAGGTGGCTACGGCCAAGGCGGCGGTGGTGGTGGTTATGATGGAGGTTACAGTGGAGGTTACAATGGAGGACAAGGTGGCCAAGGTGGATACAATAATCAGAGTTATGGTGGTGGTTACAATCAGCAAGCCGGAAGTGGGTACCAAAACAGTAGTTTCAGTGGACCAGATAAAAATGCTCGTGGGGGAAAGCAAACCACTAGAGGGAACTACAGGCCTTATTGAGATGAATATCTGAATCTCTTATCGATTGAAAATTTTGCAATTTACATACATCATATTATTTGAAAACTAACCAAACATCTGAATAACAATCATCGGCAATTTCACGTTTATTCATTTTGTATAATGGATGGTAGTGTCTGATATGTCTCTTGAACAGGAAGGTAGCAGGTGATTTCCGACTTGGGAAGGTCGAAAATTGTGAAAGAGCAGTGGAGCTAGAGGAACCACATACTTTTTCCGACATTGAACTTTCTACTTCAAGTGCCCCAGTGATGACATGTGTTTTTTTTTCAATGTGATTTAGCAAAATTACTAGCTCTCACTCTAGCTCTTCTAGCTCCAAAAAAACATTTTTGACCTTCAACTACCCAAGATTGAAAGACCTTCTTGTCTTCTGTTGCCATACCATTGACTGGGCTTAGGTTTCTTGTTTTCTAAAGTTATAAATTTATTTGACACATAAGTAGTCAACTAGTACGGCTCACTCGATTAACCCACTTGGTAATGTTAATATGCAAATTTGAACTGTGTAATATATATTTGAACTATTCATTTGATGATTGTTGACTGATTGCTTTCTAATTGAATGTTCGTCCCTGAAGCTGACGATGAAATTTAAATTCTATTGTCTCTAATCAAGTTTCCTTAATTATCTTAGTTGTCGACTTAAAACTATATAGGATTGTCATATTTTGTCAAGAACTATTTGTTCATGAAAATAAAAAGTTATAATATGAAAAGATTTAGTTGGAGTTCCTAAGCTATAGTGATGTAGTTATGTTTCAGTATGTCCTCCGATGATTGGCAAAGAAAGAGCCGAGAAATGATTGGTGGATGCTGTGTCTGTCTCGATGAGACGGGTTGGCCTGACAACAAACTAGTGTACTGTGACGGAGGTGGCTGCAATGTGGCTGTTCACCAGGCGTGCTATGGTATTATCAGTGTTCCAGAAGGTTCGTGGTTCTGCAAGAGATGTGAGTCGCAGGAGAGACAGGTTCGTCTGAAATGTGAGTTGTGTCCAAGTAAAGACGGTGCACTAAAAAGGACTGACAATGGAGGCTGGGCGCACATTGTGTGCGCACTTTACATTCCAGAGGTGAAGTTTGGTGATAACACTACAATGGAACAGATTAAAATAACTGAAGTTCCATACGAGAGGTTTCAGAAGTCTTGCTATATTTGTGAGGACAAGGGGGATTCTATGAATGCAAAAGGAAAGGGAGCCTGCATTAGTTGCCATTATCCCTCATGCCGACGAAGTTTCCACGTCACATGTGCTCAGAGCTCTAGACTTCTTTGTGAGCAAGAAACCGGCAGTGAAAGGTTGGATTATTTTGGTTACTGTGAGCACCACATAAGTCAGCAACATAACCGTAACTACGCTCTAGAACTTCCTGCTGACATGAACGACAGAAGTAGTGCCACAAGTTCCAACTCAACAGCTAGTGCTCACTCTGAATCAAAGCTAGAGAGCAGGCCTCCAGGTGATGTCACTAACGTGCCCAGCGTGCCTAACACCATGAATAAGATATCGAAAAAAGAGAAGCTGAGAGATAATCCTAAAGGGAGAGCTAGGTCAGTCGCTCATCGAAATCGTGGTCAACATCATCGCAGTAAGTCCATGACCAAGCCGTATTACCAGGAGAACTCTGCTGAGATGCCTGCACCAGCAACTGATGCATCAGGAACACCCCACAAGAAGAGAATGACCATGTCTGCCATTATTGCTGGTGAAGAGTGTCTCCCCAGCTTTTCAGAGCAACTAGGAAAAAGTAATAAAACCAAACCTAATTCCAAGAAACGCCATCTCCCCCAGAAACATGGCTCTTCCTCCAAGAAGATGGGAAAGTTTCCTCCTGATGGGATGACTGATGACAACGACAACGGTTCCCCCAGTATCAGTCCTTCTTCTCCTCACTCATACATGAACGAAGATTCACAAATATCTGAATTGATGTACAAATCACCCAGTGCAAGTTGCAGCCCTCATCGCTCTGAAGCTGATGTTAAGAACGAATCGGAGGATTCTGATGTTAACGTCTATAAAACGCCTAATTCTGAAACATTGAAAACTCTGATCAGTCAAAGTTGGGAAGGTGATGCTAGTACAATACTTGAAAATGTTTCTTCGTATGGTGACATAGCTTCATTGCTCAGCCTGGTATATGTTATCAAAAGTGACAATGATATCATGAAAAACAAAATTGATGAACTATCAAAAAAGAGGGACTATTTGCGTGCCGTTAATGATGGTTTAAAAATGGCTTTGTCAGCAAAAGACTCCGCAGACATACCATCCAATGATAAATTGAAATTAATATCTCAACCTGAAGTTTCCTTAGACCCAATCAAACTCAGATTAACTCTTGATGACGTTATGAAAGTAGAGAAAGTAGTGAACAAAATCATCTTGTCTTCGGAGCAATCGTGAATTTTTCTGTTGTTGTTATTTAATCTCCACCTGTGCTGTGATGCAAAATGTTTTTACTGTTTCAAGACTTAGCCAGAGCCTGTTTGATACACGGTCATGCTTTTAAGTTTTAAAGAAGTATTTACACGACATCCGAAAACTTTGTCATGAGATGTGGATTTAGCGACGTTATGTCTAATTGTAATGCATGACAGGACCAAAGCTGGCAAACCGTTTTGGATGTTTAGATCGTTTATGGTTTATAGTTGAAATGTTGCTGGAATATACATATATATCTGTAAATAATTGCTAATATTACGTGATTGCGAATTATTCAATGCTTTTGAACTCAATTAATTATATTACTTGTGAGTTGAATTAAAGGTTCAGACTAAATTTTTGGTGATTCATGGCCCAACAAAGTATAACGGATATGTTCCTTTTGTTGTCTTATCATTTCCCTTCAGTGCACTGATTCAAATTGAATTCTATAAACCTTTATCATGTAGCATTTGCTTCTGCACATCCTTCTGCACATCCATTTTTTCTAACAAAAAATATTTTTAGCCCCATCCTTCCCTTTTCCTATGGCTCAGGCATCTCCTAAAACAGAAAACTATGTGATCATAAAGATATTAATTCCTGTGTACTGTGCTGGTGCATGTATTGGTAAGGATGGACTTGAGATTCAACGCATCAAGAGTGAATCTGGTTCTAGAGTAAAGGTATCTCGTAACAGAGACTTATTCCCCCGTACAGACGAGAGAGTTGTGCTGGTCAGCGGTACTCCGGACCAAGTTTTGGAAGTTATTAAGTTTATTCAGGAAAAAATCCAAAATGAAAACCCCCCTGATAATAGAAAAATTAACCCTAAACGTAAGGATCAGGTGAAAATTATTGTCGCTCATTCAGCTGCTGGGCGTATCATTGGGCGGAAAGGTGACAAAGTGAACAAACTAAAAGAGGAGTTTGATGTAAAAGTTTACATCACAAATAAAGACGAAAACATTCCTACTTTGAATGAGAGAGTTGTGACGATCGAAGGAAGCGCTGAGAATGTGCGGGAAACTGCCAGGGACATAATTAATTCAATTCAAGAAAACCCTGAAGCTCGACTGAGCAGGAGTCTTGAGTATAGACGCTTCTCTGAGAACCCGTACGCGCCATACTTCTACAGTGGGCCTCCACCTCCTCCTTTCAGAGGAGGACCTTATGCTAATCAAGGAGGTTACGGTGGCTATCAGGGTGGTGGTGGCAATGGTGGTGGCAATGGTGGTGGCGGTGGCGGTGGTGGTGGCGGTGGCTACAACCAAGGCTATGGTGGAGGAAACTATGGCTACAGTTACAATGACAGTTACGGCGGTTATCAAGGGTACGGCGGTGGTGATTATCAAAGAGGTGGAGGTGGATATGATCGGTCGTCTAATCGTAGTCGAGGTCGTGGACAGCGTCAGTATGCGAGACATGATTCCAGCGAACACGAATCAGGCAGAGGATACAGTCAGGGGAGAGGTTACAGTAATCGCCCGTCTGAGTAACCATTCGTGTACTTGCTAGAAGCATCTGCTGGGTATTTGCAATCTTATCCACGTGTGATGCTGTCGGGTGCGCTGCAAAGAAGTAGCACGGTTGGTGCTACGATCCTATGATGAGATATATTGTCTTGTGCACTGTGCTTGGTAGTGCAGAATACTTGCTTTGAGCGCTATCATGTACAGTTTTACCTAAATGTTTATATTCGTATAATGGAAAGGACACTGATATGCTATCTCAGTTTGATGTTATACATAATTATATTCCTTATATTCCTCAAAGACTATCTAATCCCCTTTGAGAATTAAAATATACAGAATTATCACATTTTGTAATTTTCCTAACAATATTCATTTCATATAAATGCGTTAAATGACAAATTGGACGGATTTTGGAAATTTTTATTAGATTAGGAAATAGGTTACTAGGACGAACTATTTATACAGATTTATATATAATACTATATATATATTATGACGTATAATTCATTGAGTAGTATTTTGGAAATATTAAACTGCATTTTAAATTTTGCTTTGTACGTTATATTACAGGAAATGTGATACCTTTTATATGTATTTGAAACTATTACAATCGAACAATTAGGATAACTAGGAGAGAAACTGCTCAACATTAAATTATTACTAGTCTTATTGTTATAAGAATCGCCAATTAGGGGATGTTACAGTATACAAATGAGCATGATTTTAATTTTATTATCAACGAAGCAAACCTTGACATTTAACCTCTCATTAAGAATTGATATTAATATTTTTCGAATAGAATAACGTCTTTTAAACAGCCGAGTTGTTTAATTAAGCTCAGTAGACACATCGTCCTTGAATTTATTATCATGCATCACCATGCACTAGATGTATTCTATTGGTATTTAAGTTGATTCGTTTATGTTAAATTATGAGAGTTGTGATGTAGAGTGTAATTGATGTTTGATTGCCTAATGACAATGCCAGGAGGGTTCAAAAACTCGTCAGCTCAAACATCGCAGTGTAATTTTCATTTTCGACGAGTTTTTGAAGCTCCTTTTTAAATTTACTTAATATTGTTTCACTTGGGACGGTATATATGGCAGGGGGTCCTCATAAGATAGTTGCTTTTTCTTACCATTTCCATTGATCCGTCTTTTTCTGAGCTTGAATTCGACAATAGATTAGTTTGTAATTTTGCGCTTCGGTGGTTTATCGAGTGCTCAGTGCAAGGAAGTGTGCTGATTTAGTAAGACACAATAGGACTGTAAAACAGTCAACAATAGATCTGTAGTTTATGAACTCAAATATGTTCACCGCTCAGTTCTCTTAATATGATGATTTAAAATATATATATACTTTATGTCTAATAAGTAATTAGATCTTGAGCCAAGTTGTTTGATGAAAGTTTGGTTAAATCTTATAATATAAGCTACCTGAAAGGATAAAGGCTGTTATGAAGTTTTTCTACATTCTTAATGGTGTTTGTTGTTTTCATAACAGCTGTTAAGTTTTTCTTTAACAGCTGCTGTTTAAAACAGCTTATTATCTTTGAGTGAAGAAAATACTTGTAGTTTGGGTAAACACGGCTTTTTTATATAAACCCTTTACGGTTTCGTTTTTTTTGGGAGCCTAGGTTAGGCTTTTAATCTAGTACCATTATGATTTGGGTCAACTATCGATCAACCGTTTGAAATCAGTGTATCAATTCTATGAACATAGCTAAATGTTTTCCTGAGATATCCTGAACATACAGACAGTTTGCTTTATACCTATTTTAGTACAACATTTAGTATTCATATGATGTTCTCGACTTACAGTTTGCAATATATATGTCACGTAATTGTTAGATCCAGGCTATTCGTAAATATCGATAGATGCCCTTAGCAGTATACAATTCGAGCTCAAATAATTATACCGATATGATGTTAGCCTTCACAATGGGCAAGTTTTATCCGGCTCGTGTTAAGTTAACCTTTTGAGATCTCCATTTAATTTGTCAAGGAAGGATGAGGACCTGTGCAACAAAATGTTGAGGGATATTTTTGTATTTTTTGTAATTTTATAATATGTTGTGATATTTACTAAAATATTTTAAAACTGGTACAGAAGTACATTGGTAAACTAAAGGGCACGTTCAGAGTCTGAAAGATACACGTTACTGACTGTGTGGATGAGGCCATTAATTTGCATTCTCTGACTTGGATTTAAATTATTGATTGCCTTCGACAACGATGTTCATAATTAAAAAACAAAACCATAGCCAACTTCTCTCTCGTTGAAAGAGAAAGGAAACAAACAAGCTTATCAAAAATTTCAGACTTGCATCACCAGGGACTCCTCAAAATTTTCCTTAAGCTTGCATTTTTAAAATTTGGCCTCACTTGGCCCCTATAAAAAATAATTTTCAATTCATTCGTTTGTTGATACTGGTCGGAATTCGAGTCGTAAAACTGATTTTTTAAACAGACTTCTGGACTAAGCTACCGATGTACAGTGCCATACTATGAATTATGATATGAATTTAACTGGTATTTATAATAGATTGGGTAATATCACAGGATACCAAGAGCTATGTATGAGTTTAACTCAGTGATTGTTCTGATAAGTATTATTAGTTTATTACTACAACGATTTAAAAAGATTTACGGTGATTTGAGCCCTGCCCGGTGTTGGAAAAGTTGAAGAACATTAATTCTCTCAAAATCGCGAATATTATCACTTTATAGCTGTTTTTTAAACCTTGACAGGAGTAATTGTTGAAGGATGGAACTTGGTCTTAGCCATAGTCATTTCGTTGGTTGAAATATGTTGATTAGTCATGTGCAGATTTTGAGCGTAATTTCATCTAGTATTTAAAGCAAAGAATGATTTTATGGTGCAAAAATGCATGGCTGATATCTTATTTCAGTAGAAACATCCAAAGAATGTTAGCTTGCTTTCATCATAGATCATAGATATTTGCTGCCAGTATTAATTCTCCTAATTTGTTATGCTGCATTGAGTGGCTGCTATGAGAAGTTCCAATCCGTCACAATGACTCCTGCTGAGTCTGAGCAGTAAGTCACAACAGGACACGACAATAGTAACTTATTACCCAGTACTTATTATTACTGCTTGGATCAGTAAACTCTCGGCTATTATAGCTTTTAAAGTTTCTGAAGTATTATCTTGTCTATTCTCGAGATGTATTTTTGCCCGAAGCCGAGATACCTTTGTATTTTGAGGACATTGTATTTTATCTAGGAGGTGCCAGAACCTATACTCCATGAATGTTAGATGTTTTACACTTTATGAGTCATGTGTTGCTACGAATACTAAATCGGCAATTTAGTACTATTATTTGGCTTTTTTATTACCTAAATGATTACTTTTCATCTTCATTTTGAGTTTTATTAATCTGCAAAACAGATCATATAATCATGATCTAAAAATTTGTTGCATATAATCAAAGTTTTCCATGATTTTCAATCTACCACTAAATTTCACCCCTCATGGCCTGGCACATTACCCTCTATAGTCTATAGCTCTGTTCCGAGATCATTGATTTGGAAGGAGACAAAGCAGCAAACTAAACCATCATGCTAACCAACTGAGTTATCATGCCATGTATCATCAGTGTGCCTAGCTTCGTCCAGAGCTCAGTTCATGATTTTGCATCAGTTTTCAGCATGCTATTAGCCTATGCCCTATAACTGCGTTGTGTTCCCATATTTATTGTCTATACTAACTCTGTGCAGCAAACAATGGAAATTCTGCTTGATCTGGCACCTGTGATTTGATCTTCACGTTTACTACTGAAAGCATACCAAAATTTTGAACAGAAGAAATGTGGGAATGTGGCCCCCATAGTAAATGAACCTCTGCATACGAACTCTATTTAAAACCTTCAAAATGAAATGCTACTTTGTTCCTACAGATCAATTATTCACATGGGTTACAGTCTCTAAACCATCAATCGAGATCATTAGAGAGACCAAGCATCTTACTTAAATTGTTCCATGTTTGCTAACCAGATCCATTTCTTCCTCAGCTCAACCCATCATGTCCAAGCGTGGTCCAGACCGCAGCGGTTCTCAAGGGGGAGGCGGTGGCTTCAGCAAGAGGCGAAGCCATGGTAAACCTATGATCAAAATGCTGTGTCCTTATTATTGTGCTGGTGCTATCATTGGTAAAGGTGGCGAGACCATCAAGGAGCTCATGGATAAAACTGAGTGTGATGTGAAAATATCAAAGAATGATGAGAGATTTCCCACTACCTCTGAGCGAGTGATTTCTGTTCAAGGTGATCAGACCGCTGTAGAGGAATGCATAATATTTTGCCAAGAAAAGATCAGAAAAGATCAACCTCCTCCCAATGCAAAGAGTGAGTCTCATGCTATAAACGCCAAACGGAAGGAGGCCTGCAAGCTAGTCGTGTCCGATACTTCTGCTGGTAGGATTATTGGTAAGGGTGGTCAACGGATCAAAGATATGAAAAATGATTACAGTGTTGACATTAACATTACCAGGAAAGACGAACTTCCTCGTGGTTTTGATGAGAGATGTGTGTCAGTCGAAGGAGAAGAGGGTAATGTTGATAACTGTGTCAAAGAAATCATCAAGCTTGTCTGTGAAGATGAGTCCGCCTCCATGGAGTGGCATGTTTTCTACAACGACTGGAGCGACAGAAGAGAGGGCGGTCGTGATGGTGGTCGTGACAACTACAGTGGCAGAGATGGGGGATATAGTGGTGGTAAGAATGATAGTTTTAGTAGTGGTGGACGGGACTATGGTAAAGACCCCTATGATGACCGACGTGGTGGTGCTGGTTATGAGGACCGGTCACGTGGTGTAGACGACAGAAGAGGCTTCAGTGACAGGGACAGTTACGCAGGCCGAGACAGCTACGGAGGAGGAGGAGGAGGAGGAAGAGACAGTTATAGTGCACGTGATAGCGGAGTCAGAGATTCCTACGCACGGGATGGTGGAAGAGATTACAGGGATGAGAGAGTTGAAGAAAGGGGTTATGGAGGCAGTGGAGCCAGAGATTCATATGCTGGAAGAGACAGCTATGCTGCTGGTGCACGAGACCGAGATGTTCCTGATAGAGACAGAGGTTATGCTGGTGGTAGAGATGCTGGATTCAGAGATGCTGGCTATGACAGGAGAGATGATTACGGGAGAAATGACAGCTTTGCTGGTCGTGATGCTGGACGTGATGCACCTCGTGAGAGCTTCGGTGGAGGGCGAGACAGCTACACAAGGGACAGTCGTGATGCAGGTGGCAGAAGCAGCTTCGGTGGAGGTGGTGGAGGTGGAGGTGGAGGTGGTGGTGGAGGTGGTTACAATGACAGGCGTGATAACTACAGAGATGAACCTCGAGGTGCAGGGCGCTATTAATTTTCCAGCTTCGCTGAAACTGGGGACTGTTGTAATTATGATCTGACGTTTTGTTTCTAGTGTCGACTGTCAACAGGCAACTGTCATCTTGATATACTTGGCAGACCCTCGGCAGAGTTCTTTGTTCATGAAACCAACATTTCAATTTGTATGTATCAGTGCTTTAGAGCCCCTTTTAATGCATCCCTTGCATTGCCTGCTCGCTAGAACCGTTCCCTTAGAAATTTAGAAAAAGCTTTTAATTTTCAGAATATATTTTAAAGATTGTAACTCTATTCAAACATGGTCTTGTCTCATTATTCAATCAGAAAAAGCAGATGAACATCAAAATTGTGCCAAATACAGACTTCATTGTGACTACAGGTTAACCTAATCTTGTCTGCGACGCAGGTCTCAATTTCCATTACGAATACAGGGTGGCTCAGAATTAACTATCTTTGAGAAAGAAGCTCTATTCTGAGAGAAAAGTTAATACCTTATCCACTGAAGATAGGGCTACTTTCTCACATGTAGTTAATTTGCCCGGTTACCCTGTATAACCATTATTCAGCAGCTAGTTTTAACGAGTTTCTACGCTTTGCTACTTTAACAGTGTTCTGCTGCCTTCAAGGAATGCAGAACCAGTAACAACTTGCATAACAGCGCATTAAGTGTCCAACAGCGCACTAGTGTCCTACAGCGCACTAAGTGTCTGGAATCTTGTGGGTTTGTATCTGGAAGTCATGTTCATCAGCTTTCTTGTAACTCGTCTGTCATCAAATCCTGTGTTCAGGATTATCTAAAATTATAATTCTAAATGATCTCATTGATAGTAAAATTAAATGTTTTAGTTAAATTTAAATGCTGATTTTGTACTCTTTCAGGGTCATGGCTTCCCCTAAAAGAAAAGATTCGATTTCCTCACAAGTGACAATCAAAATTTTGATACCTTCCTTCACAGTCGGGGCTGTAATAGGAAAAGGGGGCGAAGTTATAAAAGCGATGAAGAAAGAAAGCGGGGCCCATATTAGAGTATCTCAAAACGGAAAATACTACCCTACCACCAATGAGAGAATAGCATTTGTTTCGGGTACAAACGAGCAGGTTCATCAGGTCATATGTGAGATAAATGAAAAGATCAGAAACGACAAGCCTCCTGAAAACAAGAAAATAAGTTTAGACTTGAAAGAGAGAAAAACACAGATGAAACTGATTATTCCTAGCAGCAGCGCCGGTAAAATCATAGGAAAAAGTGGCTGTAACATCAAGGAAATGAAAGAAAAGTACGACGTTTCCGTCAGAATTCAGAACCACGAAGAGAGCATCGAGGGACTTGATGAGCGTATAGTCACTGTTAAAGGCAGCCCAGAAAACATCGAGAAGTCTGCCCTGACCATACTGAGGCATGTGGAGGAAGACAATTTCGGTAAGATAGACAATAACCTAGATTACGATATGTTCAACGGCTACTACCATCATGGTGGTTGGAGTGGTTACGGTTATCACGACTACGATTACGGCAGGTCTAACGGATACCACTCTGGTGGGGGTCCCCCCTACCCCTCTTACTCTCGCTACCCCGACCAAAGGGGCTACTATTTCAACAACTCCAATTACATGGATCATCAATATCCTGGATCACGGCCTAGGAATTACAATAGCCGATACACTGACTATTCGCCCAGGTCAAGTCGACGTGGTCACGACAACACGCGTGGTCGTTCTTGAGCGTGATGGCTTATATTTTGTATCATTATTATATATTTTAATTGGTTTGTTGATTTTTTCTTATTGAACAAAGTATAAGATATTATATTTTAATAGTACAAATAAGAACTTTATATCGTTAATTTATAGCAATAGTATTATTAATATTTGATATTTTAAATATATTATCTAACTTAATTTATAGTCCTTATCCTTTCCCGATTGTGATAGTCTCTCTTTCAGGTGTTCCTAAAACCTGCCCAGAGAGAGATATATAGCAACTCACTTAACTGCGTTTTTATTTTATGATATGCTCAATCTTATTTCTTAACTGAGTTAGGTTTATTGATAGGTTTTAAAGCCTAAGTTGATGACAAGAGAGAGCATTTGCATACGTCTAGATAAAAACCAGTACCCCCTATTTCCTTTCTCCTATTTCTATGATCCGTGTTTTATAGTATTGAAACGTTTCCGTCACAATAATATGGACTATTTCAAGGCTCTTGTGAGACCCTTAAGAGGCTCTTGTGAGGCTCTTGGAGGAGAAAACATCTCAAATTATTTGAAAGAAGGCATGTGACTTGTTGAGTAGACCATCGCAGGACGCAATATCTTTTATACAGCTGAATTTTTATTTTATGATGGTGGATTAATTATTTAATTTGCTTAAAAGTAATTTGGCGTGATGAATATTGTTTAGCTATATGTTACATGAATACGAAATATTATTATAGGCATGATGAATGTTATTTTTGATGATGAGACGCCAGTGAATTAAGTTTCGATTGAAAATGTTATCTGATTCGGTTGTACATTACTGATTGTAATGATGAAGCAAATTTTCTTGACAAAAATCATTTAAATATGACACAATTAGTAAAGTACGATACGTGATTTCTTAAATTATTCAAATTTTAAGTTTTTTCTTGAAGCTAATTTCTTACATTGAGAGGAAAGCTTAAAATTAATAAATTGATTATTTGGGTTTAATTATATTTAGTAACTGTAGTATGTATGAAGGTACACTTTGATCAATGCATCATCTATGGTACTGACACATATGAAAGGGCACTAGCGGTTTGGATAAGTACTAATTTATCTGTTGATATCGCTCTTTTTCCGTATGGCATTCAGTTTAGCACTTAATGGCTGCCCACACACACACACACAACACATTCCACACACACATAATTAAAATCTATCTTAAGTAGATTTTGTAACTTTGATAATTAGTAGCCCGTTTTTATCCGTCATGATTTGGTTGTTTCGTGTGCACGATAACCTTGGCATGCGATACACTTTTTTATTTTTATAGTAGCAAGGGAATTTTTGGTTATATACATTATTATATTATGCACATTTTAAGTGTTGTTTTGTACATAATATTTTTTGTTAAAAAGCATTTCTACTCGATATATTATACTTGCCGTCATTACGTTTACCACTTTGATCATATAGTGTTTTGTATGCGTTGAATTGTGTCGTGGATATCTACATTATAATAGTATGATACCCATTTTTCTTGGAATAAAAATGTCTAAAGACACACAAGTTTGATTAAGCGCTGGAATTTTTTGAAATATCACTTAGCAGAACATGGATTACGAGGCACAGCGTGCGATATGTATCAGTATTATCAGCGTCAACACGATTATATGGATTTTGGCTCACACGGTTTTTTGTTTAATGTCGAATTTGACCGTTTTGGAATGATAGATCTAGATTTAGGATTTAGCGATCACATAGGTTTAGCGATAGCAGGATTTTTATATGGTTTGAAGGTTTTATAAACATGATAAAGGCTTAAACATCATTATGAATACGTTTATTTGAGATTTTATGAATCCGATGTTATTGACCACGGTACCCCAGAGCGTTTGCTTATCTTGCAGCTTATCCTGCACTGAGCACTCTATTGAGTCGTTGGTAAATGTCCACAAAGCAGAGAAGCCATCTCATTCAACGTTCCATACACTAATAGTTCCATAACAGGTATGATCACTATGTGACCAAGTTTCTTTCTTTCTTTTAGAAACACATTAAATCACCTGACCTCTATAAAGTTTTCTAGAACCGGAGCTTTTTTCTAGCTCTTTCAGCCCGAGCTTGCTAGGTCGAGATTGTAACATTCTACTCACATTATAAACCGGCGTGTAGCAAATGTAGGGGTAGTTGAGTGCTGTGGATGTAGCAAATGTGGGGTACCGTACTGATTGGCACTGTAAGCCTGGCGTATCTAATATAATTTATTGTCACCCCTAATGTGATGCCAAGCCCAACATGATTGATGCACGTTATTGATACCGAGAACTAATTGGAGATTATATATACACACACAAGAGAATGAAGAAGCTGTGGTTTGTGGTCGTTAAATCGGGCACGTTTTAACATCTTCTCTGCACTCAGAAGAATTAATTACCTTTACACAATTCAAGTCATGTCGATATAATGTGACCATGACCATTGAAAGTGACCTTATCCTCTGATTCATGTTGAATGAATGTGGGATTAAATACTGGTCACGATGTAACGTCCCCGATTTAATGACCTCGCAAGCCACAGAGACGATGTTTTGTGTTGATCAGAATTTTGGAATAAAGTAAAAAAGGAGATGACATTATCCGTATTGCACACGAGGCGGCATATTGAGTTCAATAATTCTTGGACTCCTTCCAAGAAATCCAACATGAACCTTACCTGAGACCCGGCTTGAAAACTACATAAAGATGAACGTGATGAATATTGGAGCGAGTCCAAGAATTATTGCTAAACCGTATTATAATTCTAGTAATGCTCCGGAGTAAGGAGAAATATATTTCGTGGACTGTCTTGTATCAAGTAAAGTAGGGCCACTGCTTCTAGTACCCGACACTAGACACAGACAACTGTTCTCTCAGATTACCAGGCTCAGGGTTATGTGCTCAAAATCAGCGGCCAGCAATGTGATGGCTAAGCTTGCTCGGGGGTTGGTTGGTTAAATGGATATGAGAGGGATAGGGGTGAGTCTAAGCTGGTTCAAAGCGCTGAAACCCTGGGCTCTGGAAGCGCTGGCAGCACCATCTGTGTTGGGTAAGTGCAGAAAGCACCGTGCGCTCTCTGGAAGCACCCTGCACCATTTCGGTATAGTCTTATGAGAAGAAGCTTGCGTTAGATGAGCTGGCAGTGTGCTGATTTGTGAGGAGGACACTGTTTTAAAAGAGTATATATTGTATTATTGTGATAGTTTCATAAACTGTCTCTCACTGCTTTACTCTCCCAAATAGATTGAAAACAAGTCAACAAAATATCTAATTCTCCAATTATTTACTTCGATCGGTGATACCAGAAAAAAGCGTGACCTAGATGAGAAAACTAAGCTAAAAGGCATATAACAAGAAAACTGTTTCCCTTCAGAGGATGTATCGCAACCAGTACGACAATGATGTGACGGTTTGGTCGCCTCAGGGGCGTATCCATCAGATAGAATATGCTATGGAAGCTGTAAAACAAGGAGCAGCAACTCTCGGTATCAAGGGCAAGAACCATTCTGTTCTTGTGGCTTTGAAACGAGCTTCATCAGATCTTAGCTCCCATCAGAAGAAAGTTATTCCTATTGATGATCATGCTGGTATATCGATAGCAGGTTCGTAAATCTTGATAATATTTATACTTTGGTCATGAGTTAAGGTTAATCGTAGATCAGTTCAAGTTTACTCCATGTAAATCGGTGTAAATCTGGCATATTTAATAGTTGAGTGATGTTAGTTGAGTGATGTTAGTCAGTGTGTTTTTGTGTCACTGAACCTTGCAACATGTTACCTTACACAATCCCGTGTGTCCAGGATTAACATCAGATGCCCGCATCCTCAGCAGATTCATGAGAACAGAGTGTCTCAACCACCGCTACATTTACGGGTCTCCACTCTCCGTGGCCAGGCTAGTGTCCAGTGTCGGAGACAAGGCTCAAACTGGCACCCAGGTAATGGGACGACGACCCTACGGTGTGGGATTGTTGGTAGCTGGGGTAGACGAGGCCGGACCACATGTTTACTACATTTGCCCTTCTTCTAACTTCTACGAATGCAAGTGTATGGCTATTGGGGCCAGGTCACAGAGTGCCAGGACTTATCTGGAGAGACATAAAGATGAATTCGGGTAAATTTTAGTTAGATGTTTAGACTGAAAATGTGAAATTAACAGCAAATAGTTTGATGAAACACACGACTTGGTTTACCTTAGTTAACTAAATAACCAACCCGCACTCTCAGAAATGTTGAAGATCTGGGAGAGCTGATTGCGCACGCACTCCGCGCATTAAGAGACTGTCTGCCTGCTGATACTGAACTGACCACCAAGAATGTTAGTGTGGGCTATGTGGGACGAGATGTGGAGTTCACCATGAAGGATGATGACGATGTGGAGGAATACTTGAAGGTAGTTACCACTTTATAGTTAGCACTTTATAGTGACCACTTTATAGTTACCACTTCTAAGTTGCTACTTTCTAGCTACCACTATAACTATCGTATTTGAACTAATCCACAGGTTAACGAGACAGATCTCTTATTCCCACACCTAACACCCGTTTTTGTCCCAGATGATTGAAGGAGACGAGAAGAAAGGAGGAGCAGCATCAGCGGACCCCGAGCAAGGGGCAGAAGACACAATGGAGACACAGTAGGGCCACTCCCTCACTCCTCTGCCCCTGGAACTAACCCCACCTACTAGGGGCACTGACGTGTCAACTTACGAAACTGTCAGACGAGTGACGTCATAAGTGGTGTGATATTATGCCGGCGTGTTTCATCTTTGTCCGTTAGTGCCCCAATATAAGTGGGTAGTCTCCCCTTTCGCATTTTCTCGAACGTTCTTCTTTTGTAATAACTGATAACGTTCGCATTTATCTGAACTTAAGATAATGAATGGCCCAGTATATGGATTATTGGATGTAATACGATCTTTGTTTCCTCGAGAGAAATGTAGATGATGTAACTGTAAAATTTGAGGATTTGTTGATCAAATTATGAAATTTGTAAAGTATTTGTAATTTCGGGAAAACTGAAGACTCCGAGTATTAATCAAATTGGACTCTCTCCCCATTTTGTTCTTGAAAGTTGGAAACCACACTGCCGGCCCGTTCAAAATAACATTCACTAAATCTCGATTCTTTTAGCATGAATTGAAGCCATTTTACATGTTACGTTTATGAATTACTAAAATCTGATCCCCATTTAGCTATGAATCTGCGGAGAGTGTCACCGGAAGAGAAGGTGAACATCTGTAGAAAGTATTTCCTGGCTGGAATTCCACTGCTACCCTGGGTCTGGATTATAAATGTGCTCTGGTTCTGGCGGGAAGCCACTAAAGTGGATCACATTCCTCAGGTAAATTACATTCTCTTAAAATACGCTATTTCTTGTTCTATTTTTGGGATATTGTTCGGGTATTGTATGTGATAAACCGGTTGATCTAGATATATAATATTATATTGCAACAAATCTATTACATTTATTGAGTATTATGTAACGCCATGGAAATATTTTAAGCGGGTAATATCCTGTCCAAACCCAGGATACATAACATGAAGACTTTGTTGTAACTTTTTATGAAAAGCATTAATATACATGATATTATATAATTATATAATACGTACTACCGGGTAGCTGAGTCGCCAGTTCTTGGGATGTTCAATTTTTAAAAGATAATTCTTGGCGAACGGGCCCTATCTGAAATAAACCTCTATTCGAATTGTTGGCAATGATCCATTTTACTGATATCAAACTCATGACCTGTTGGCTATAAACCCCTCAAGCTGTATACTCTCATTCAGTGTTAAACCAGTTACTTTAACACGCCAGCTTTGGTTTAATTGTTGTTTAACGCACGTGCATTGCGCTACATCTGGGCAAGTATTGTTCAGCTGATAGTGCGCCATATTTATCTGCTGTAATGATGGTAATTGTTAAATTGGGAAGGAGGTGAGATGGGGAGTATTTCCCAGCAAATCTTGAAACTTGAAACTGTGGGATATCGGAGACAATCAACGTTGAATGGCTGCTACCCACCATTCAAATCATGTAGATAACAGTGTTAACGTGTATGGTGTTGGCATTTCGCCTTGAATTCAAGCCAAAATTTTATCAAAGATAACCTAGAAGTTGCGGGCACTATTATATTATACATGATCTCGCCTACACTGCGAATTTCCCGTATTTTGCAGTACAGGTCAAGTTTTCTACTCTGTCTGTTTCAATGCAACTATCAAGGTTAAACCTTTCTCCCATACCGCATTTCAACAGCAGAAGTGTCATAACACGTTACAATAACTCCGAATCCAACAACAAATAACACGTACTAATCTCCCTCAGGTTCGCCGCTACACCATCCTGTCTGGGATAGGAGCTCTGATCTACCTCGCAGCACTTGGAGTCTGGGTGGGCGTATACCAGAGTCAACGTGCGTCCTGGGGGGCCCTCGGGGACTCAATATCACTGCACGTTCCTTACGGGGAGCCCTGAGTTGTCACCTGGTTGGTTAACACGAGTCATGTGATCGTGGATATGCGTGCTGATTGGGCGTGTTGAGTCACGTGGTCATGGTGACGGCGTGCGATTGGTTGATTGGGAGTCAAGACGGGGGTTGATTGGAGTGTACAGTGCTAATGCAGCTGACCATTATAGGGTTGGTGGAGTTTGTGTGTAATAATGATGATGATTATAACTGAGCTGCTGCCCCCTTTCATTATAAGATTGGATTGTCGCGAGGCAGTGTGAGGTATGGGGTCAGATAATATATAAACTGAGTGTAACTTGATTTACGGACAGGCTGTGAGTGTGGAAGGGAAGTTTAAGGTAAAAAAACTTGAGGTTCTCTAGACTGGAAATTAATTTAGTCAGATATATTTGTTTAGAAGAATTTGGGTAAATTACTGTCTCGTTTGGAGACGTTTTGTGATCATCGAAACAGCAATGTACGAGTTTGACAGGGATTATTGTTTTGTTGTTTTAGCTTTTATTTCTATTGCGAAATTTTAATTTGTTATGATTAAATTCTTTGTGTTTAATGTAAATATAATATATAGATTTTGCAGTTCATACTTACGATAGAGTAAATGATTTATCTTCTTTAAGGTCTTGGTGCAACCCCGTTTACAGCTTGAAACAAACCTTTTTAACAAAATTTTCAAATTCTTAACATAACATTCTAAAATTTCCTCGCACAGTTACACATCTTTTAAATTCCCGCCAAAACCCAAAGTCAGACACCCTCATACTCGTCTGCATATATTGGGTATATTTCAGCATAATTCACGTAAAGCTAGCGGCTGTACCCTACCACCCTTCCCAGTTAAAATGTACACACTTTCCGTGAAATCTGCAACCCTGACAGCCTCCCTTTCATTGGTTACCCAGCAACACGTGACCATGGAAACGTATTCTGATTGGTTGCACGTGATGAGGATGCAGGCTTCTTAGTGGGTGATGGTCGGGCCACTGATCGAGTGTACACGACGTGAGATGGCATGTAGGAAGCAGCATATTTAATGTGAGATCTTTAGACCCTTTCCCTCTACCAGTGAGGAACCAAGTATGTTGTCACGTGACACCTTCAATCCAATCAAGTGCAGCCTCGACCTTTGAACGCGTCCACTTTAATATATCGATCGTATTAATTAATCTTTTATACGTGGGATTCTCCTTAAAACCACCATGCCATCTCTTATCGTTATTAATGGACCCGGCTTAAACCTAACCCGTGTAATTTTTCCCCTAAATTGTAGCCCATCACATGTAGAGTAAGCTTCATTTTAATTGGGCGGATTTTGGGTGTACAGCTTGCTCCGGTAATACGGAACTTTCTGGATAGGTGCCAGAACTGGACTCCCCGGTAATTCCATTTGTAGAAAGGAATGTTATTGCGTCATCACCGCGGCGGGAATTTAAAGGTTGGTGTAATTAAAGTGATACTCTAAAAGTTAAAAGTTTTACACCGCTTTTCCACCGACCTGGATAGTTAACACGCAGGGTGACATTTTCATTTCTGTGGGACTAAAGATGTAAACAAAAATAAACATCATGCTCTGATATCATAACCCAACATTCAACATATTTATTTTATAAAAAAACATGGAAAGTTACATCAGAAATAAATGGATCCTGGACTAGAAATAATTGGTTTCTTCTCGAATAAACATTGTTTTAAAGCCACCTTTTAGATTCCTTGAGCACATAATTTAACTGGATCAATGTAATCATATGTTTGTTTACCTAACCGGTGTACATTATTCAAGGCATGAAGGTAAACGGTGAGGTGTTAGCTGAAGACATCCGCAAAGCTTTATCTTCAGACTCAACCTTCTTCTTTACTGATTTATTGGAACACTGCAATGTCTTGGTAAACACTGAACACGAACCTTATCTCAAACTACTCTCCATATTTTCACACGGCAGATATTCGAATTATCTTGAGAATGCCGCGAAATTGCCCAAGCTGAGCGAAACAGAAACAACAAAACTGCGGATCCTCACAATTTTACGCATGAGCATCAACAAAAGGGTGTTGAAATATTCGGACATGCTGTCTGAGACTGGGCTGAACAGCTCCCGAGACTTGGAACAGGTCATCATCCAAAGTATACAGCACAACGTGCTGGACTGTAGGATAGACGAGGCTAACGAGCAGGTTTTTGTTAATCAGATCTCTGGGTACAGTGTTGAAAGTGGGGAACAGCAGGACTATTTGTTGGAATCTCTGTCAAGGTGGTCGGAGTCATGTAGAACTGTCACTGAAAACATGCAAACTGATGTTGATACTGCGACCAACAAATTAAAGGCTAACATGCAAGAAACTGCTGAATTTTCAAAGTCTGTGGAAGCAGCTAAAGCTTCCGTTAAAAAAGAAAAGCCGCACCGCGAAGCTACCTCAGCGAAAAGCAGAAAACGATTGGCATGATTTTATCCGCGGTCTATTTTGGGAAATGGGTATTGGGAGTTATAAACTGTCAGCTGATCTGATTGTAATCTATCTTGTATATTTGAATTCAATTTGTACATTCGAAGTCCTAGATTCCCTTTGTTTTGGCCCGTCTCTCATAGAGAGGGTCTACTTAGTAGTTGACATGCATACTGAAAACACCACCAGTTAGCAGATATGTGAACGTTTATGAGCCGCGCATGCGCGCTCCCCTCAGTTCCCGGGTTTTTGTCAGAACGTCCGACCCCCTGGTCCTTTTGGAAACTTGCCACACGTCGTGTCGAGTATGTAATGAGTTTGATGAATATGTAGAGAGTACTGTTAATCAGATTGCCTTGTATATGATGACACCTGGCGGCACTCCCTCCTTGTATGTTGTATGAATGCCAGCCTGACAGGCGCTGAACTTCGCCATTCTCTAGTGAAATTATACTATGATTTTGGATTTGAATGATGTACCTCTGTGAGGACCCCCTGGTGTCCAGACCAGGAGAGGTCGTGTCATGAGAATGATGTAGGCTCTGTAGTCAGTGGCGATATGAACTAATATTATTACTTGAGTATTGTTTACGGATGATACCCTGTACCCGTATAGTACACTGTAGATCGTGAATATTTGTTTCGGGCGCAGTGTGGCTACCTACTGAATGTGAGTGCCATGCCCTCAGGTTCAACTGTGTAATAAATTCAGGTTTGGCTACCGGACCCTTTTGGATAGATTCCGGTCGCCTGATATGTTAATGTAGAATCACGAACTACGGCTTAACGGATGAAAAAAGCATTGCACATTGTCTCTCGTCGTGATAACTCTTTTTAAAAAGATCTCTGCTGTCTGCGGCACATGCACGGCAGTCCCACAGCTTTCTATGTGGCAAAAAGGTACACACCATATAATAACAAATAAGGGTCTATATGCCCAGCGCGCGATGTTTTCTTTTGTCTGATTTTCAGCCGCACAAGTAGAGTGCCCCTCTGTAGGTTTACAGTGGGGTGCCGTACGTTTTCGTGCGAATTTGCGTGCACGTCACGTGATATTGTTAGCAGTGAGTGTAAATAAGAGTCTGAAGAATTTGTCTAGTACAAGGCCCAGACCCTTTGGCGTATCTTTACACCATATAATAGTAAACATTGTGGCGATGTAACATCTCTGACACCACTTAAAACTGAGGAACAGGGTGTTCACAATATCCAACTCAGCATAGTAAACTTTTGACATCTCTGGCTGCAGATTGACAACTCCGACGGTATTTATTTGAATCAACTGAAAAACATTTGGTCTCGTTACCTTGTAAATTTCATCGAAATCGAACAGTGCAGTACAAAGATATTCCGTTATAACCTACCAAAACGCGCGCCGAGTTGAACTCGTCGACAGTTGCAGTGTTGTGACCGTCAATATCGTGACTACATACAATCTTCTTTGACTTAATAATATAAACTAAACTGTAAACTGGGGAACCGTCGCTTTGTTGTTTGTGTTGGCATGGCAGTAAAACGTACAATTAACAGTACCACATTTCAAGCTCATCTACGGCCTGCTTCATGCAGGGGGGGGGGGTTATTGTTTTTTTTTAAAGGTGGAATTTACAATTATTTTTTTGGAAAAAACCAAAAGAGGTTTTGTCCGTTTGGTACCCTATATTTTCGTTGAATTGACTGTTCTGTGGATGCAGTAATTGAAATTATGTTCCGCCTTCTTATCTAAAATTTCAAAAACTGAAGAATCCTCATATTACTTAATTTGTATTTCGGAATTTGTGAAAACAACAGTGAACAGACCGTATTCTTTAATTTAATTGTTAATTTTACTGTCGCTTCAAGTTTCATCACTATCATCTATTTGTGTTACAGTGCTGTCAACCTTATCTAACCCTTATCTCATGTGAAATAGCCAAAAACAATTTTTTGATATTTTTGTTTAGGCGGAATTGATTTTTTGAAAAAAACAAAACAAACAAAAAAATACGTTATCCCCCCCCCCCCCCCCCCCATGCAGTAATATAATGGGTCACGGGCCGGGATTGATTTCACCTAGCCACGAGTCTACGCGTGCTGCGTGACGCGCTTCACGTTCACCTAACCATTTACCTGGGGACCTCCGGCTATCATGTTCATAAACATAGAATTAGAATAGAGATTCGGCGGAATGACAGGCTGAGCGCGGCCCAGTAACTAACCATGTGCTTTCGGTGCGCCACTGCAAGGGCTCACAGTGCGATGATAGTTTGTAGACATGTGTGATGATGTGATGTCATAAATTTTACTTTACTTTACTTTTACTTTTCTGGATAGAGAAATGCGCCGGGTTAGTGATAGTCAATGGACAAACGATGATGATGTGGGGGAAAGTTTTTAGCTTTAGAGTCAAATAGTAGGGTGATCACTAACTCACGTCACATCACAGGAAACTCTTTTCATAAGTTGTATGACCCGCCGTGCACGAGTGTGCGGCCCCCTGTATCAATATCATAGAACCGCTACAGGGGTAGTGAAACAACAATGGGGGTCACGACGTGATACAAAGAAAATCTATTTCTGCAATTCCGCTTTTATGAATTAAATGCAAATATGAAATAAAGTAAATGTATTGTGTTTGTCGTTACCTGGGGACCGGCGGAATGATTGTATCACGTCGGTGGAATGATTGTATCACGTCGTGACCCCCACGGTCGTTTCACTATGGTGGAACGGCCCTGTTATGTAAAGTTTCTATACAGGGGGAGCCACGCACTCGTGCGCGGCGGGTCATACAACGTATGACAATGGAATGACAGGTTGGGCAGTGGGCCGCGCTTTACCATTTACTGGGCCGCGCTCAGCCTGTTATTCCGCCTAATCTCTCTATGTTTATGAACATAATAGCCTGAGGTCCCCAGGTAAGAGGCGCTCCTACTAAATCGCTCGCCCAACTTTTAAGAAAATTCTTGTGAAAAGGCCCTTTGGGTATAAAATTGATCTGAGTATGAAGTAGGTGTATTTTGGACGCTAATTTTGAATCACCCCTCATGACAAGAGCCTTGCCTCATACAGTAGTCGATAACTATTGCAAAGAGGTAAGGTGCTAAGGTATCACACCTAAATGGCTCGAAGAAAACCACTGACACGGACATAGAGAAGAGGTACTTTGCTACAGCAGGAGAGGTACTGGTCGGAAACAGTAATCGACAGTTATCATGTTGTGGGTAAGTGTTGTGTGTTTACATACGTTGTATATACAATATATAACCCGCCGCGCACGAGTGCGCGGTACGTCCCCCCTGTGTCGTAGAAACTCTACTATAGTGAAACGACGATGGGGGTCACGACGTGATACAAGGTAAGTGGAGTCAGAAGCCGGGACAGTGTGCCGATCAAGAGTGGATCGATCAGCATGTGTGCCAATCAAGATACCTCCTGCAAATCGTGAGGTGTGACGATCTCTTCTGCTGCATCGCTAGAAGGACGAACTATGCCGCTGTTCTTGGGACATGTTTATTCCTCCGCCTATTCCTTTGAAAGTAAACAGAACGAGCCCGAAGGTACACACGAAAGGAAAGTGTGGCGGTCTGTTTCAAAACTTTTGGTTGAGCCACACGACCAACAAAAAGGTGTCCTAAAATGAATGAGATTAAGCACCGGTTGGGAGTATCAGAACCGAAGTGTATGTCCTCGGTGTGGGAAGTATCACTCTGAAAGCGCAGGAAGCCCATCGTTCTGTGTACGAAAATTCGCCTCAAACACTGAAGAACCGGATTGATATGGATTATGGGTGGTCCCAAAAAGACTACAATCAAAAATGCATGTGTACCCCTACTCGAGTAATCCTTTTTTATCAAAGAGGAGAATGTGTTAGAACATCCTGCTCAATACAAAAATATCCGCATGAAATACAACAGAATCAACTTCAACATTCAAGGAACAGTATCTCGCTAAAGTACCTAAATCTCATTTGATGTATCAGCGACAGCTGGCCGATTTTAAACAAGAAAAGTTCAGCGATGTGAAGACTCTGAGAACAGGGTGACTTTTTCTAAATCTCTCAAGCTTGTATCACGATTCATAGTATGGAGCACACCCTAAAGTTGGTGGAAAAACTGAACCTGAATGCGAATTAAACTTGGTATCGCAAAACACTTGGTAAATGTAACGCAGTGAATGACACCAGAATGAAAGGTGTTGTAAGTTTCAAGTTTCATTTCATACAAATCTTGTCCCATGCATTTTTACCGAGCATTCTCTTTTCCAAAGAAGCACATATGTACGTTTCGCCAGTGCACTGTGATTGCTGAACAAATCATCAGAATAGAAGGAGATATTTTAGAAGATTTTAAAATAAAAACAACCGTCATTTCCGGCTCAGGGATTCTCAAAAAAGTGCCCTTAACTACCTTGATTAAACTGATGTATTATTTAGGTAGTGCGTACGTACGTACATTACGTGAGACTCACGCGCAATATTTTCTACACTAGAATTTTGTGGCGTGAAATAATGAAGTATTTTCCATGTGGCGCGAAGTTCTTGTTGCCAAAGATCACATGTTCTCTCTCTACTTTCATCGGCACTCATTAATAATTCTACGATCGGACAAAAAACTAGCACGAAATTGGTCAAACTGAATCAATCGTCAATTAATAAACATTAAACTAGAAATCAAAAAAAAAATACCCCACATTAGTTCAATCGACCTGGTTTACATGCCGTTTACATGTGCATTTAATACTGCGTCATTATGGAAAAAACAAAGAAAAATTAGCCAACTTAAAGATTTAAACTTCAGAATCTGTAACCAAATAAGAAAAATACCTATCCAAATGCAACCTAAATCTGTCCAGCAGATCTTCAAACGACATTTGATAAAACTTTTCCTCCTTTTTGTTGTTGGGTAAAAATATCTTGGGATGCCATTTTCTTGACCCCAAGAAGGCATTGGATGCCCATTTTAGAACAGGTGTCTTCGAGGTGAAGCTGATTCTAACCAAAGCGATCCCTGAGAGATGAACAAAGTCATTCTTACGATAATCGTACTCTGCGATCTTATCTGAGGGGAAAACACCAGCAGGGTAGTCGTGTAGAAATCCGAACTGGTAGAGCATATCGTAGATACACATGATATCTACATTTGGAATAGGGATGTCTATTGGTGCACGGAATGGCGTGACTTCTGGTGGCATTCTATTTGGCACCTGGCCCATCTCTGGTGAATCAAACGGATTCAGAGGAACTTGTACGAATTGGAAGCCCATCTTTTCCGCCCTGTTCCGCCACTTACTAAGGTAACACATCTCAATGATTTGTGCAGTGGCTCGGTCCCATTGGACTGTAAGACCAAATGCATACTGAGGATCATAACATGAATCGTAATCAACTGTGAAAAATTCTTTCCTGTCACCCAACTTGGCATTGACATTTTGTATATCGACATCAGTGTCCGTAATGGGAAAGAAGTGCTCGATTCGGTTCGGCATGTCAGGTGTTGCAACTTCAAACAAAATCTTTGGCATCGACTTTTCTTTCGATGGTTTGTCAGGCTTGATATTGTAAAAGTAGAACCCGTTAACAAAGACCGGACTAGCAGGTTTCTCATCATGCTCAATAGTCTCTTCGATTATTTTCTGTTTTAACAACTCCTGACAGAACTCAAGTACTTTGTTCTCTGAAGTAACATCCTCGCGTGTCCGTCTCACAAAGTCCACAAGATAAGATCCTAAGAAGGTATTGGGTGGGAGATTGGGCTGGAAAATGTGACCAGGGAGGTTTGTTTTAGGTGGAACAGATATAAACTTCATTGCACTGTTTGGAGCCAGCATGCTATCTCTAAACTCTTTCAGGTCGTTGCTATCCAAGTTCAGGTCACTCGATTTTGATTTTTTGAACAGCGTAAACATGGAACTCTTCGAGCTTTCTTTGTCAGAATCTGTCTTTAGGTTCTCGTCTTCAGATGATCCCGTTGAGAAGGAGAAACTTTTAGTATCAACAAGTGTGCTGGTCCTGGGCCGACAGGTGTCGTCTATAACCGCGTAAGAGGGAGAATTTGGTGCTGACTGGTAGCCAAACATGGAGCTTACACTCAGAGATCGTCTCGGATCATCATCTTGATGCTTGATATGATTCATAGCGAAGAGAATGTTGTAGAAATTGATAACGATCACCTTCTCCACTAAGTGTAAATTGCAAGCGTTATGGTCGGGGAAGTAAAAGTCAGGTCGAGGTAAAATGACGTATCTGGATTTCCACGGACTCAACTGAGAAGTCTGGCCCAATGTCGGTCTCATATCATCACCCAGATCAGGATCGATCAGTCTGTGAATGTACATATCAAACTGGTTCCAGTTAACATCCACTCTCGCTTCTCTGGTCGTCCTCTCTGACTGACAGTTTAATAGGCAACTATCAATATCGTCCAGTTTGCCCAGATAGGGCAACAAACAGTATTTGTAGATTCTCTGAGTTTCAGGGAATTGTGCCTTTTTCTCTGGTTTACTAATTTTGACAGTTATTGTCCCACTGCTGGTGCCGCTTGTGTAATTATCAAGAAGTTTGATATCGTGGTATGTGTCTCCCAAGCTAACCGTCAAACTACTCTTGCTCTGATTCTTCTTCAGAACAATCTGGAACCCCCTCGATATCCGCTGAATAATAATCTCTCTTTGGAGCTGTTTGATGTCGGTAGAAGACAGCGGATTGGGATGTTCTTTACACTCATTAGCAATGTACCTTGTGTCAGGATAGTAGTCGGTGGTGATGGGGAAGCAAGCTGGTGCTATTAAACTCTGCCAGTCCACATGGTCAGCGTCCTCATCTTGTTCTATCCTCAGACTTCGTGACAAACCATGCCAGTTCTTCTGGGGAGGCTTTGCGGAGGGAAACACGTGCGCCCAGCGTCGTCTACTGTTTGTAACTGGACGAGGTAAAGAGGAGGGTTTGAAAGGGTTGCTCTCTGGTATGGGGTTATGAGCTGCATTTCTCCGGCGATCCAGAGATGGTGTAGTCCCAAGAGAGCTTGAGTGGATCTCCGCATCGCTGGACAAGCTACTGGGACCATTATTATCATCGCTGTTAATCTCGAATGTAGAGGAAGAGGTGTGGTGCATAACAGGGCACTTCATGAGGGTAGCGTCGTAGTCGTCACACAGTTGACTCAGCTGCTTCATGGTGCAGTTCTCCAAGTTCATGCCCGGGAAGGAAGGAGCCGGACCTCTGAACGGCACTATTCTGCTGCTCTTCGTGGCCTCTCCTGTCAGACCTATGATAGGTACAAACTCTCTGGGCTTGTTATTCATCGCATAAAAATGCATGTTCATCCAATGTGGTACCTGGTACTTATCAAATATTCTCTCCTCTCCTTTTCTTATCTGCTGCTCCTGGAATACAAAAAGGGGCGTGGCATGGAGAGGTTTGCTCCCAAGGCACACCACATCCGCCCCAACCCCCATATCCAGGACCCGATGTTTGGTGAAGTTGGTAAGCTCCCGATCAAGGTAGAACATTCCAGATCCCGCGGTGACGACCACTATTTGCTGTCCAGTTCTGTAGTGTACTCTATCCTGCTGGGAGAATACTCAAGAATGTTAATATCGACAGTTTGATTTTAGTTGATAAACGGTGGGGAGGAGATTAGTATTTTTACTTGATAATTGTGCAGGGAAGGAACTATGTAGTCTAGGGCACTGTTCAGTGTTCATGAGTTTTGTAATTGTCACATTCATATTCGATGCAATTTCATATGCTCTACAAAGCTGGTTTACAATAACATTTTGAAATGTTCTACCGGTAGGAAATTTTCAGATTTCAGCTTTTCGCAACCCAAATTTCACTGCTTTTACTGGATTATTCTTAAATAACCATCTTACAAGGTCACTGAGCATGGCACAAGACACCATTGAGGTACTCAAAGTTCTATTTCCAAAGAAAGCTTTCATAAACGGAAAATCATCAGAACATAAAAAGAGATTTTCGAAGATTTTTGAAGAGGAGCTTTTCTGCCGTCCCCTTGACCGAAATTTCGTGGTTTTAACTGAAATTTTGACCAGTGATCAATCAGTGAGGTCGGTGAGAGTGACACAAGTCGCCATCAAGGTACTGGAAGCAGTATACCCGGAGAAAACTATGATGCAATGAATATTTTGAATTTCGGCTTTCCGCGAACCAAATTTCACTGTTTCACTCATTTTTCACTCATTTTTCTTGAATGACCATCTTACAAAGTTACAAGGCCGATGAGGATGACACAAGACACGATTGACCAGTGACCAATCAGTGAGGTCGTCGAGAGTGACACAAATCGCCATCAATGTATGTTATTATATTATAACTAAATTATATTATATCTTAAATTTTACATCCGGTACGGCTATGTACCCATGATATCTCTCTCTGCCATGAAACATGGCTAACCTTTCAAACTATAATTTAAAACGTAAACCTTAACTAAAACTCAACTGGGCTTTCCTGGCCTGTGTCACCAAACTAGACCAATACCTTAGTCGGTAATATTATGGGGGTCTAATTTGGTCCTTTTCGGGCCAAAGAACCATATTTATAGCAGTCCATATTTTTACCCCCCATAATTTAACCCCCTGAGTCAAATTTTGGTGTTCCTTTTGGTAAATCAGTCATAATATGATTAACGTTTCTTTCATTCACGTCCAGAAGTATGCTTACGTTATTGTTTACTGAATTGAAGCTAGTTCTGGTTCAAAAAGTCCGATTTGTCTATTATTCCCTCCATCCTTTCAATTTGAGGTGTTAACTAGGAACAATATCAATCGGATATCTAATGAAAAAATATTAAATTTGGTGTGAAAGCGGCAATGTGGTTATAATTGCGAAAAAAACTTGATCAATATTTTCGATTTTTTCACGAAAGGAAAGTCGCAGTTAAAATTGTGGGGGTCGAATTTGGTTCTTTTCTATTTTTAACACCTATAATCCCCCCCCCCATAATATTACCGACTAAGGTAAGTAATTTTAGATTATTATATTTTTCTATATTTTTATAATAAGTATGTATATTGACGTAGTGGATGGTTGAGGGAGTTTCAAGCACAGGTCACCCTCAAGATAAGCAGTGGCCTTCTGCACTTGAAACCTCCTCACGCCTCCACTGATTTATATATCATTGATATTGTTTGATTGTGCCGTAAAAATAAATAATTGTTTGATTATTTTAGGAATCATTGAAATTGAAAAAAACACCTCCCCATCATGCAGTATCACCTCCCCACCATGCAATATCACCTCCCCATCATGCAGTATCACCTCCCCACCATGCAGTATCACCTCCCCACCGGCCACCATGCAGTATCACCTCCCCACCATGAAATATCACCTCCCCACCATGCAGTTTCACCTCCCCACCATGCAGTATCACCTCCCCACCATGTATCACCTCCCCACCATGCAGTATCACCTCCCCACCATGCAGTATCACCTCCCCACCATGAAATATCACCTCCCCACCATGCAGTTTCACCTCCCCACCATGCAGTATCACCTCCCCACCATGCAGTATCACCTCCCCACCATGCAGTATCACCTCCCCACCATGCAGTATCACCTCCCCACCATGCAGTATCACCTCCCCACCATGAAATATCACCTCCCCACCATGCAGTTTCACCTCCCCACCATGCAGTATCACCTCCCCACCATGCAGTATCACCTCCCCACCATGCAGTATCATCTCCCCAGTCCCCACCATGCAGTATCACCTGCAGTATCACCTCCCCACCATGCAGTATCACCTCCCCACCATGCAGTATCATCTCCCCAGTCCCCACCATGCAGTATCACCTCCTCACCATGTCTTTAATCAGATAACAGGCGGAAATTAAACTTTTGATTCTCAAAGTCTGGTCAGAAAATTCTACAATTTTAGTAAGATTTAGGATTAAGTGATTGTAGATAGACCGAATTCTTACTGCACAAATAAATAAAATAAACAAAAACAGAATGAAAATTTGAATTATTTGAGCGAATGTACCTGGAAATGACTGGTGTAATGATCCAGAGCCAGATTTATACACTCGAGAAAGTTCCCCTTGGCACTCGGTGATACCTCAACCTTGTAATCCTTCTCTAAGTTATCTATTATCAGACTCAACTTGTTGAAACGTCTCTTCATTACACCTGGTTTGGTGGTTTAGTTAGTGAAGTTTTTTAATCTGTATAATATTGTTTAATATTGATTATGTAATTAATCGAAGAAATGCTTGAGGCTCCACAAACAATTCCCTGGTCATAGTAAAATAGATCACATTGGAAAATGTATTACCTATTATTGATTTGACGTCTGTTATGTTTCCACCGTCACAAACGATATCGTATATGTCAAGATAGGGTCTACCATCACAGTCAAACTGAAATATTATATATATATATAATAAGAGATATAGGAATTGTAGAGCGCCAGATTCAAAACTTTGATGAACAAAGAACAAAAAGTTTGGAGTCAAATGGAATATTTCTTCGATATACATAAAAGAGAAAAGAAATATCACGTTCATTAGATAAATAGTTAATTAGTTAAAGAGCTAAAATCAGAGTTAAGATCCAACCTGAATAACTTCCTCTTTGTATTCTGGGTATTTGTTAATCTCAAAGAAGAGTCTGGTAAAGAAGATGATCTGCAGATCGTGGTTTGCTTTGTTCGCTTCCCATTTGTCAAACAGAGTCTTCACAAACTGATACACCACCTGAACATTTAACCAATTAGCAAAATAACAACCAATTAGTAAAAATTTGTAATTGCATTAACCAGTCAATCAATCTTGAATCTCGTTTATCCGATAAGCTCTAATTCATCGATCGCTAAATAAAAAGATAAAAGAAGGTATAAATGTAAGAAATAACATCAAAACTCAAAAGTACCCCTCCTCAAAATGTTACCTTTTCGAAATTTTCCCAGTTTTCCATGCCCTCGTAGTCATTCTCCCACATTTCCTTACCGATCTGAAAATAATCTCAACTTAGAATTCAAAGGAACAGCTGATAGTGTTAATATTAAACATTTATAATTTGTCGTCAGTAATAATAATATTGTAATCAGAGTGCACGCACAGGCAATGCATAAGACAGAAGCTGCACATAGCAGGTAGGTAATGTACAGGCACAGCACAAATGATGGAGGAATATCAATTACAGTTTAGCTCAGGATCGATTATAGACATTTGTTTTACTGATAAGAGATGATGAATGACAACTGAAATCCCACCATTAACTTGGCTTGAAAACCATAAAGCACAAAAGATCTCTAAATGATTATTTGTGGTTTAGGACGGTAAGTCAAAGTGGTATTCGGGTGTTCGCCAAATTTCGATTACAGTTTAATTGATTATTTGATTTTGTACTATTTACTGCGATTGGTAGATTTGTTGATTGTTGATTACACTTTATTTTATATTTCAAGAAGCAACCTTCAGTTCAGCACAGCATGCTTAAAGTGTCGTAGTAGCTAGTGTTATATAAACTATCATCTCCTTATTTTACAAAAATGAAACCCAATATTTGATAGAATTAAATACAAAGATCTTCTCTGATCAGCTGTTTCATCTTGTAAACAGTTTCTCCGGAGCCTTAGAAAGTTAGCCTCAACTTAACTTATAATCCTCCAGAGGGTATAGGAGACCGGCAGTGTTTGTTATCTTCCACTACTCCCGAAATTTAACCACCGTGGCCAATAACTTAGTGACAGAGCTTGCTTATTTTTTCATTTCACAATTTTGAAAAAATGTTAAGTACTAGGTTTGAATATATTTCGTGTTCCTTCCGTTCGTTACCATGGCAACTAGCCGCGTGCAACGCGCGAGGGTTGCTTGCGGAGATGTGGTGTATAGATAGCCTGTGGTCATTGGTCAATGAATGCGCGGCGCGAGTGTATTTTAATGTATACTATGTAATGTATAGTATTAGGTAATAGGCCCAATTTGTACGTGGCACGCGTAGTGTACTGATGTGTATAAAACATGAGTATAGTTTACTTTTGTTTCCCGTATTTAAAGCATAATTTATCAATATTATTATCATGAAGTGAGCTGATTAGAGCTTATACTTATAGTTATAGTGAATGGAAATCTAGCGTCCGCCAAAACGAAACAACGGGCGCAATTCTTGTTAATGGAACGTGTCCAAAATCATTTTTAAAGCAATTCATGATCGTCATAATTAAGGAATACGTGAAAAATGATTTGGGGAAAATAATGATGGTGACCTAAATTTAGTTCGAAAATATGATGTTTTTTTCGAAAAACCACCGACTTTCGTACCATTTAAATATGTGTCGTAAGGTAAGCACAGGGTTGTGATTCAAGATTCTCTCTTTTTTAAAAGGTTTTAAGGTTTTATTTCGGTGTTTTTTAAGGTTTTTTCAGTGTTTCCTGCGGTTTTTAAGGTTGTTTTTTCAAGTTTTCTTTCCGTATCGCAAAAAAAAGAAAAAAAAAAGGTCACAGTTATTTTTTTCCAATCCGAGGTACACCTAACTAGGTATAATTTGAGTTTCAATCCGAGATACACCTTGCTAGGTATAATTTCAAATTCAATCCGAGATACACCTTGCTAGGTATAATTTTGAACGCTTTTTTAAGGTTCTCAAAAACTTTTAAAGGTTTTGTTCTCCTTTTTTAAGGTTTTTTGAGCTAAAACCGCTCTTTGTAAGTTTTTTTTGGCAATTTCACGATTCTTAAGGTTTTTTAAAGGTTTTAAGGTCCGCTCCCAACCCTGGGTAAGCAATAAGCATGACAAACCGCCGTATGTAATGTGTAGGGGCTAAATATATCGGCGTGGGCTCACAAATAGATGGTTCCAGACTCCAGTTGGTGAATGAGTTGAGCCAATGATCAGTTATATGGTTACTGCTCAGATGACATCAAGTATGTAAACATTAGGCACGGAATGGCTGGTGATTTGTAAAAAAACTGGGGGGAGGGAGACGGTGGCAAATGATAGTAGTTGAATATCAAACATTTGGTAGCTTGTACGTGTGGATTTTACCTCGAATACTTACCTGGAACTACTCGGACAATAGGAGGTGTGTCTACAGGGCATTATCCGCGGGGCTGTTGTTTGCAAGCTAGAGAGTAAGGACTATGGTCCCTCCCTCTCTAGTTGTAGTTGGACTAAATACTGCTCTCTTTCAACAAGCACCGTTATTTTGCTTTCATGATTTTGAATTCGAATAGATACTTATAATGTAGCTAACGATATTCTGTCGTCTATTTCTAGATACATGAAATGTAATCTACTACACATTAACGCTAAAAAGAGCTGTTATATGTATTTCTCCCCAAACAAACGTGAAAATGAATCCTCTACAAGCAGTGCACTCGATGATTTAAACCTCTCCATAGACGGCTCCATAATTATACGTGTTAAAACAACTAAGTTTCTAGGTGTGCTGATTGATGATGAACTGAACTGGAAACCTCACATCGAATCACTAAATAAGAAACTAAGAAGTGCTTGTGGACGTATTTACCGCATAAAAAACTACCTACCTGAAAAACTTCACAAACAGATATATATCACACGCTATTTGAATCACACCTTACGTTCGCCATCTCAGTATGGGGTGGTGTCTCTAACCAAGTTACCAACCCTATATTCTTAACACAGAAGAGATGTATTAGGATCATTTTTGGTGATGCAAACTTATACCAAAACAAATTCAAAACATGTGCCCGTTCTAGACCTATCCGATGTAAAATACTGGGTAAACATGAGTCTAATGCTGATAACTCTGTTTTAATCCACGTGTTAAACCATGTGACAAGTGTGTCCGCTCTAAATTGGTAGTTCATAATAAACTTGCTAGACCTTTATGTTGTCAAAAAATATTACTATTACACCATGTTCCAGCCCCATTACTTCTGAATTGCGTCCGTTGACGTGGACATACTGTTTCCTGTTAGTTAGATACGACTCGAACTAAGATAAGCTTGTTCTCTAGCTTATGTAGCAGTATCTCGCTGTCTACCGGGTCTACTAATCGCTTAGAGAGTTCACACAGTGCAATTATGTTTTAAGTTATTAATATACTCCCCAGCGTCATTTCCTTTTGCCGAACATTATTAAGGTTAGTAAATTCTCGCTAGGATAGGTCACAGAATATCAACAATAGTATTGACTTTTCTTGTACCCCGTACTGCAATAATTATCCCAGACTATAATTATCAAATGTTTGAAGGTTTTCTTTGTTGGTAATTTTTTAAAGTTGTACCGTTCCATAGTTTAAACTAAGCATATTATAAAGTGAAGCATCTTTTTGATACGTGACAGCGATTAACCAATCAGCTTTTAATATTGACCAATCACACCCCTGAATCACTGTTACGTGAAAAAAATGCTTTACCTCCCCACCAGAATCCATGTCTAAATTTGTATGAACTGAACTTGTAAACGTTTATCACAGCTTACATAATTATCTCTGTTTAAAATAGCCTCGTTTGATGCTCTGGACAAACTTTAGACAATTCCTACTTTTTAAAAAGTTCGCGAACGTTGATTTGTTTCTTTATTTAATAGGACGATCCAAATTCCAAACAGAACCAGGATGCGGCACTTGCTAGCATTGTTTGTGCTTTGTTATGCTGCTGTGGACTCTAAATGTAAGTTCTAATGATCAAATGGTATTTTTAAAACAATGAAAATGTGATAAACAAAAAGTATACTTAACCTATCACGTGACTAATCAACTATATAAAGCTATCTTTACAGGGGAATACTGCGTGAGAGAGAAGAAGGATTATCACGGTGGAGATATAAGAGAAGTTGAAAACACTGCCAGTGTCACTGAGTGTATAAAGCTGTGTTTACTGGAACCGGGTTGTATTCTAGCCACTTACGCGGTAAATGAATAAAGTAAAATAAAATAGTAAAATAAAGTTTTATACCGCACAATCAGCGTTTTAACTGTTACACTGCACTATTTGAAATGGCTAGCAAGTTAGTTGTCAGTTAACTAGTATTATAGAAAAAAAAAACCTGCAAAAGAGAAATTAATATTCTCATAACTAACGGTTAACAACAGTATACCAACATTTTTATGAGGCAATTATATGATGGTTTAATTAAAGTGTTTCATTTTACATGCTAATTTATGATGTAATGTGATTCCACCCTAAAAATTTCAGTCTCGTGATCAACGATGTTATTTAAAAGACAGAGAGACAGGACGTTACAGAGACTATGTTGATCCAGAGGTATCAACTGTTAGGATGTCTTGTGTCCAATACGATACTGGCACAGGTTTGTTTTTCTGGCGAATGTTTATTTTCAATGAAAAATGGCTCGATAGCGATTAATTTGGGGTTTCAAACAGTTTCGTCATTCATCAAAAATTTTAAAATGTATAACTTGGCGAAAATGATGATGACAATATGTCAATATTTACATTGTGTATAATCCGGATCGGAACATTATTTATGAGTCGCATAGAAATATTAATTACTGCACGGAGCTTTTATGGTTATCTATGATACGATATGTATAATCTGTAATAAAGATTCCTTACATTATCAATAAATTTAAAACTTTATCAAGGTTTTTTGAAGAACGTAGCAACTACTGGGGTGGCATCACAAATAGATACTCTTTGGGGCGACGTGACAGCTTTAGGAGCAGCAGTTGCTATCGATGGAGTTATTGAGGGAGCAGATTGGAGGTGGCGACGTTTATTTTAGCGATAAGAACTGAAATAACTCTCTAAATAATAACTTAGAGGATTTTACAATAGTTCTTCAAATATATGTAATATATTATGTAAGTTTTCCATCTAAGTCTAAGCTTCCAAATCATAACATTATAAACAAAGTCAATATCCCTCAGGAACCAAATCACGCACACTCACACCATAGGTCCAGCTGCCTGGTGGAAGGTGACCCTTCCTCAGTCCTACCAAATCAGCTCGATTAGAATATATGGTAGAACAGATTGTTGTCGCGAGCGTATGGATGGAGTCAAGGTGAAGGTTGATGAAGCACTTGTAGGAACTGTTAAATATGTGATCAGACAAACTATGTACGACTTCCTGGGTTTGAATGTGAGAGGCTCAGTAATCACACTGTTTGGAGGGAAGAGTTATATTTCTTTAGCAGAAGTCCAGGTCTTTACTCAAGGTAAAATATGTTGGTGATTATACTTTAGAAGTGGCTTATGTCGGCCTCAGGCCCGTCTGTGGCGTTTTCAAGAATACTTATTCCAACCTTTTAGAATAATTATCAACAGTGATGATTCTAACTGAAAACTAATTTAATATCACAACAGCTGATCTCCCGTTGAAGAGCCACTGTTACAAAAGGGGAGTTTCACTGGAAGGAGGGGACATTATATCTACTAATCTGACTACTATCGCTGACTGCCTGGAACTTTGTCTGGTAAGCTACGACAAGGGTGACGGGGGTGACGTGGGGGAGAAGGGGGGTGCTTAATTTGAGCATATATATAAGTAATTAATTGAAATATCAACAGTCAACACTTATGTACGGATCTCATGTAGGGGCAACTAAAATGTATTTCAGAGTACAGCCGATTGTGTAGGAATAACAACGAAAACAGGGTCAGTGAACGATTGCACACTGAAAAACGAAGATCATTTGGGAGAAAAAACTGATTGTGACACTTGTCTTTCGGTCAGAACTTCATGTCTTACTGGTAAGACTGTTATACTAACTACATGCTTTTAAAAATTAAGGACACTTTTAAGACTCTCAAATCTCAATGTTCACTCGAGGAACTTATTATCATGTTATGACACAAAGTCAAACCGCGAACAGAGCGAATTATTTCAATAATTGTACAGGGTGGGCCAAAAGTCAGTGTGCAAACGTTGGGTCTTATACCTCCGCTGAGTTTTATATTTGAGAGCTGTTGCTTTGCAGATGGCATACTGTACTTACTGGTTCGAGGATTCCGTCGTCAAAATTTGAAAATTCGAATATTTTAGACCACGCCCATTCAATATTAAAACACCTATATTGTTTTCTCTGAAAATCCTGAACGCCTAATTTTTTTAGAGACGGTAGATTATCAAATGTTGCATATGATCTGAAAAAATGAGGCAAAACGGATTAGAAATGACGAAGTTAACAAGCATTTTGTGTATCTCGTTAACAAATTGACTGGGTGATTATGTGACACCGTGACACGACACCTTAATTGGGCACCCTTAACAATTCCCATAATGTTTAACGGGGTAGTTAACGGGGTCACCTTATCACGTGATTAGATAAACCAATCACCTGATCACACGTAATGTATTTTTAAAGTAAAATTGATCTCCATAATACAATGATCAGAAGAAAGTGAGTGTCTGGTTCAGAACAGTGTTTTGACTGCTGACACAGAGGAGAAACAACCTTACTCCACGGTTATTGACTGTGAGGAGAAATGTAGTTCAAGTAATAAAGGTTGTCTTGGATTCACCGTCATGTCCGGAGTTGGAGAGGTAATAAATTAACAGTTTTAGTTTTACAGAGTCACAGATAAACACATTTAAAAATTTTTTTAAAACAGAAGCAAAAGCCATTTCTCGAATATGAAATAGTCACAAAAAATAAAGCGCACTTGGTACTTTACTCAAAGTTCTAAAACTAACCGCAGGAAAGTGGCTGCTACCTGAAGTTTGGCAGTTTGACAGAACTTTTGGTGGATGTTCATGGTTCTGCTAGTTACTTTAGAAACAGAGAGGACAGCTCATGCTACAATCCTGGTACTTAATGTAACTCTTACCTTGATATACATTTTAAGATTTTACAGTGCTGTCCGTGCAACTCGCATGTTTTCCTATCTTTCATTTTTACTGATTCAATTTTATTCTTTAAATATACACTTCAAACCCACACAAGTTCTTCTGCTTCTTCCTTCAAAGTCAATATTTGTAGACTAGAAAAAAATCTCCTTTCGTTTCAATTTTGACAGAGTTATTAAATACTTTTTCAGAGTTCTCCTGCCACTCAACTCTGGTCACTTTAGCGTTGATGCGGGACGAGGATACGGTAACACTGTCATGTGACATTAATTCAGTAACTAAAGTTACCAGCTTCAAATGTGTTAACGGCTCTTTAGAGGTGATGTTAAAGTCGTAGTGAAATTTCATCCTTATACAAGTTTAAGAATTTGTAACATTTTAGGAGTTGTTTTCGAGTTGGGAAAAGGAATATTTCTTTTTATACCTTTAAAAATATAAACATTACATCGCAATAATAGCCGAAATGGAAATGTGATAGATTTGAAAATAGTAATTTTACAATGCTGAGATTTAATTAATCTTATTTAAGTAACTCGACTCAATCTTAAACAGGTGAAAGCAACAAATCTTGCTGAAAGAATTAGAGAGTTAACGGGAGAGGTTATGGTTGGTGATCTAAGAGTGGTCCATGAATTCACATGTACAGTGCAATACGAATTGAATGGACTCCTGCTTAGTAAAACCGAGATCGCTTTTATCATAGACTATCGTGAGTAACTATTGAGATTTGTATAAGCTTCATAAAATCATAGATATGAAATAATTCATTCAAATAGACTTTTGTTTCTGGTAAGGTTTGACAAAGTGAACTAGGGTTCACTTTGATCAAACCTTCATCAGTGACAGGAAGATAAATGTTAACAATGGTCAATTCAGATACTCGTTTACAATGTTTTATTTTGAATATCCTAACAAAATTTGTTGTTTTCTTGAAATGTACCTGAATAAATAGTTGAGTGTAGGAGGAAAGAGACCGATAGGTGACGTGGGTGTTCTCACTGATAAACCCTGACAACATCTCCTCCCCACTTTCATCATACATTGAAGCTACTTGCACGTGAATCCAGCTGAAGTCCATGTGTTTCTTCTTGTAGGTGCAAGTCCCAACGACGTTATCTTTAAAACGCCACATGTCTCCCCTGCTCACATACTGGTCTGCACAAGTCACCTACACAAAATGTTCATGAGTCAAAGTATTCTGAGTACATAATTAAAACATAAAATGGCAAACTAAACACACACATACACTCACACTAAAAAATAATAAATGAATGCAAGATATTTCTCCGACTTTTTTTTCCTTTTTTTTCTCAGACTTGCTAAAAACCATCAATGAAAATAAGTAAAAGTATGAGTTGTTAGAACATATTTAATTGTTGTTCACTAGCTGGAAATCAAAACTCACCTCTACCATGTGAACCTCGCATGATGATTCTTGGACAACCTCAACAACAACCTCCTCATTACTCTGAAACTCAAACACCTTTGACATGTCATACTCCATACTGAGTCCATGGTTCTTCAGTTCTTTATCAAATGCTGTGACTTTTGCAAAGACATGAGTGGCCGAGTTTCCCTTGCTTGAGATCTTTATTAGAGAGTTTTCAGGAGCCGATATTTTGTTTGGATTTAGCTTTACTGGATCTTCCTGGGGCTGTTTTAATTTTAAAATGGCACACAAGTTGATTGGCACACAGTTACAAGATTATAGACTGGTGTGGTGCTTGCGCTTTGTGTAAGCACTGTTATTCAATAGAAAGCCCCAACCAGCTACTGTGGGGATGGTTAAATTCAATTATATGTTATTCTAAAACAATGTTGTACACATTACCTTTTGAAGACAATGAATTTTGCATTCCCATCGTTGGTTTTCCATATAACACTCTCCAAGTTTTAATGATCACTCATTCTGAATTATTGATGACATAATAAAACAAAATTGCTATCTACTCCAGATAAATTTTTTAACAGAAAACAGGAAAGACCCCAACCGCGTAAACTGAACATTAAGTTGGCCTGGCTATGGTTTATTTTGCTGCCAAGTTGGACGGTTTTTCATTAAAAACGCCCCTCTCATGTGACCTGTGTTATGCCACTGCTTTTCCTTCTCATGCTCACTGTAAATCTCATCTAGTGGCCTAAAGATATTTGAGTTTTCATTACGATGTGTGACCATAATGTCAAAGAATGTTCGCATACAGTTCAACAGAAGCTCCATCAAGACAGGCTTCATCCTGGGTGTTGGTCTTTCTTGAGAATTTCTATCTATGCATCCTTACACTTTGCTTCTTGGAGAAAAAAGCTGCAGTGTCTATTATGCCATTGTTGTGCATGGAAACGTATCCATCTAATTGACAATCAAGGGCGTGGTAGACACTGTTCACATTACCAGGCACATTTAGGGGGAATTTATTGTATCATCCAACCGTAGCGTGGACGTATGATGTCTTAGAACTGTTTCCTGTTCAGAGCATAGTTAATGTCCTTTTAAGATGAATAATCTGGGAACTTCACATGAAGTAAATTAGAAGCCAGAGCGATTACTAGCGCTCAACTTTAGAGTATTAGGTGGCATTTATACTGGCTTTTATTTCCAATCTGGTAAATTCCCCATAATATGACCAGTGTTGTTTAATTAACTGTTGGGATGACTGACCCTTTTTTTGGAGGCCCAAGCAGTTGCTTATTGAAATCATTATCGGGGGGGGGGGGGGGGGGGGGGGGGGGGGTGTATTTTTGGTTCAAGATTTGCGATCGACCCACATAACATATACAATAGTAAACATACATGACAAGGAAAAGGCTCTTATTATATATCAGGAAAAGAACTATTGGAAGTTTCAATGTCACAACATCGTATTCATAAACTAAAAATATTTTAATCGAAAATTCAAAATGTAAAAATATAAATATGAGGCAAAAATAGTGTACGGGTATATGGCCCCCAGAATATAGGTCGTTTTTTGAGCACTTAGAAACAGGTGTTAAAACTACTTCTAAGCATGTTTAGGGCTGTAAATATGTACATAATAACCCTTTAAATGTTTCTTGGGTAGTTGAAAATAATTATTAGGTTTTTAAGTGTACTTTTTTTTCACCTGTAAAAATACCATTTTTTAACAGGGCCCCCAGAATATAGGTCCAAACATCTGTTCCTAAGTTGTTCTAAAATTGTCACAGACAGTTATATGCAGTCAGAATATGTTGCTGAGACTGTATTGATGATGCCAATGGCTCCAGATACTAAATTGAAATGGTTTAGAGTATACTTAATAGCAAAAAATCAAAAACTACGGCCCCCAGAATATAGGTATGCAAAAATCGTCCTCAAATACTCCACCTTCATACATTTTGATGATGCCATCTCTTCAGCATATGTTCTTTAACTGTTTCTCATCACTACCCCACATTCCTTAATGCTCAGGGTGACAGAGAAAATGCAGAATCTTGGTCGCTATTTTTTTTTAAAAACCTATGATCTGGGGGACATATACCCGTAATGAGTAAAATCTTTAATTTTACTAGTTAAAAAGCTTTCATGCACTCATTTAGTAGGGATCTTAACTAAATACTTAAATAAGATTGAAGGAGTGTCCCTAGATATGATTGAGGGGGGCTGTTTTTATCTGTATCAATACAATGTGCACCTCAATGACTGTAAATCAGACATTTTTGGCCGCCAAATTTTTTTAAAGGCCTAACTCAAAATTCTGTCCCAAAACTTAAGGTCATGAGACAATTCTACGTTGATTCTGAAAATTTCATGTGAAAATATTGAAACCCTATTGAGTTCTATTGTTTTGAGCGAAGTCAGTTTGAGATATGGGCGATTTTGTTCATTTTTTGCGATTATTTGAACACAGAATCCACAGTTAGGTAGATATTGAGCTGATAATCATAGAGAATGTGTAATATATGCTTACCTTCCATATAAAGTTGGTTTCATTCAAAAATATTGATATTTGACCAATTTATGGACCAAAATCGATCAAATTTGGTGCGTATGCCCAAATATGGGCATATGGTTTTTGTTTTTATCCCATAACTCGGCCAATTTTTATCCAATTTTGATAAAACTTGATATGTGGGTTCAGGAGACTAGTAGCTACAAGTAGAGCATCCCAAAGCATGGTTTTGGGCATGTTCAGGGTTTTTGACCAACCTATATTCTGGGGGTCGTATAGACCTATATTCTGGGGGCCCGTAAAATTGTGGTGGCCATAACTTTTTTCCAAATTGTCAGTTTGCAGATGTCTCGATGAAAAGATAGCTTAAAATAATACTTATACTCATACCAGTAGTCTTAATGGCATGTGTTGGACAGATTTTTGTCATGACAATTTTTCGCCATATTTACCCCTCTAGAAAATGACAACATCGTTTAAATCTTTCGCTGTCATGACCAAATATACCAAAATAACTCATGTAGGTCCAAAATTTTTATCCAGAAACATTAGTTACATGTTTTACTCCAACATAGCAGTAACAGATCCCATTAGTATCGCTTATCTTGGTTAGAACTGTATCCACTAACATGACCTATATTTTGGGGGCCACCTATATTCTGGGGGCCATATACCCGTATATTTATTCAAACATTTTTTCATCATCTTCAATCTTATTATATATGGCTGAGTGAAAGGCTGGCATCGTCCTCAGTCCTGTACTGTAACTTACTTACTTAGTTACTTACTCACTCACAAATTTACGAAAGATTGGTAATGGGCAACTGGTATGGCAAGTCGCCATTGTTGTGTTTACTTTTAGTTTTAAAGAGTATATTTTATTGTTAATTAGTGTTATTTGTTTTAGATGTTTTATAGATATTCATAATCACAAATCGCATCACATCATACTCCACTGCACGTTAGTTTCACGTCAAATAACAAGCACTAGCACAATCCACTTTCAACACCAATTCACTTCATATGCACAAAGTCAGCACAGTTCATTTCACCTTGGAGATTCATAACACTAATCACTGGTCATTGTCACATGTTCACTTCACCACGACTTCACAACCATTCAAATAGTATCTTCATGTCCCATGGTCACCAATCACTCGTCACGTGTCATGCTATATATAAGTGCCGTTTTATAATTATTGGAGAGGTCATGTTCGAGTAGCTCTGTTATCTTCTAAATCTAATGCCTATGTTACTTTTATAAATCTTCATTTTACTTTCTAGAATAATACCTTATAGTTATATCGTGTTTCCTTTGTACAATAACATCGTAAAACAGCCATGGCATAGTTCAAATCAAAATGTTTATGGCTTAGGGACTGCACAATCAACAATATGATTTTATTCTTTCACAAGATTGAAAACTGGCCACGGGCCCAAATATTACATATCAATCAATTACAATTCATTAACATTACTAATATTAAAAACTGTCCAAAATATCTAAGAAAGTATTCTCTAGCCAAGATTGAAAATTAAAATGATAAAAAAAAAAAAAAAAGGGGGACCCCCAACCCATGTAGCTGAGACACCTCACAGCAAGTAGACCAAAGTGGCTCTTGCTTGTGAACGGTGCGTCAACTACCCGCCGAAGCGGTGGGTTGGGAGTCCCCCCTGGGATCATTTCGTCCGTAAAATTATATATAACATAAAATAGTACAGTAAAATATCAAAATTTACATAAACAAATCTAGGAGACCTCAAAGCTCGTCTTCTGGGGGATGAGGTTGAAGGAGATGTCATGCAGTTTAAGATGCTGGGCCGTTGATCTTCCTCTGATTCCTCTTAGTGCAATGAGTGTACTTCTTAACAGATCAAATCTGAATCGTGTTCTGATATGATTTTTTGACTTGGCTCTTGGCTTCTTTTTTATGGTCAGCTATCATCTCAGAGACACGATCTACAAATACAGTGCATAGGGGTCCCATACCTCCAGAGGTTGTGAAGACTAGAGGGACAAAGGATCCTTTCTCTGACTGAAGTACTCTCTCTTCATACAAATCTTTCTTTTCTTTCTCGTGATCTTTATAGATCTTATCTAGCGTCTTAAATGTGTTTGTGTCACAGTTAGGATGTGTGACCCTAATGTCAAAGAATGTTCTTTCAAAGGGTGCATACAATCCGACAGCTGCAACATCAAGACGGGCTTCATCCTGGGTGTTGGTCTTTCTTGAGAAGGAGCTTGGTTGGACTGTCAGGAGTGCTGGTTCTATCCTTACATCTTTACACTTTGCTTCTCGATTATGATGATTAATTAAATTAAAATGATGATTAATTAAATTAAAATGATCCAAGTGCATTCAAAATTAAAAAGGTATGGCGCGCTCAATAAGTGATTAACAATTTCATTTTTTAAAATTATTTTTTTGTTACTGTATACTGCATACTGAGAAATAGTAAAAACAAAAATAAAAAAAAGCATTGAGCTGGAAAAGATTTTTGAATTAGTTGATTTTTGGTTGATAATTTCGCTTCGTCACACCGCCACGTTTGTAGGTTTACAACCTACCAGGACGCGCGCCGAGTTGAACTCGTCGACGGTCCAATATATGGAACAGATATTTTACGAGTATCACCCGTTAACTTAAAACCGATAACAAGTTCATTCTAGGTCTCCCCAATCTACCAATGAATAAATTATCTGATTCAATTGCAAAAGAGAGAGCCGTTTGGGCTGGGGTGTTCTCCATACTCCTGAGAATGTGTCCAAACATCTTCCACCGCTGGTGTTCAATACGCTTGGATAACTTTTCAACTTTGCACCGTTCATACAATGCTTTGTTGCTTATCATACCTTTAGGCCATTTGATGTTTAAAATGGACCTGAGGTGTCTAAGATGGAGTGTGTCCATTTTCTCCATGGTTGCTTTCTTAGGACTCCAACTACTGTAGAGTGGTGCCAAAATCGTTGTGTGGGTTGATGGCTACAGGCTAGAGCCCTTTTACCGCCGTTAGGCCGTGAGGCGGGCGCGCGCTACTGCAAGCGCAAGGG